ACAGGAGTCAGTAGAAACATCAGAAAATTTATGCAAAGATCCATGGCACAATGGAAGACACAGTTGCAGATCAATGGTGAGAGGCTGGGAGAGGTTAATATCAAGAGAGGAATATTTCAAGGAGATTCATTTCACCATTACTATTTGTTATTGCACTGTTTCCTCTGTCAACAATACTGAATAACTCAGGACATGGCTATCAAACATCAAAAACATCTGCCAGACTATCCCACCTCCTTTATATGGATGATCTGAAGCTGTATGGAAAAACATCATCTGAAATAGAATCGCTGCTCAACACTGTCCGTATATATAGCCAAGATATTGTAATTGAGTTTGGCTTGGACAAATGTGCCACACTTACTATCAAACAAGTAAAAATAATGAAAACTGAAGGAATCAAGATGCCCCACGAAAATAACATTAAGAGTCTGGATGAGGAAGAGTACTACAAATACTTGGGTATCCTTCAAGCTGACAACATCAAGCACACTGAAGTCAAGAAAAAGATTAGAGGTGAATACATCAAGAGAGTGAAGAAGATCTTAAAATCCAAACTCAATGGAGGAAATACCATAAAGGCAATCAACACCTGGGCAATCCCAGTCATTAGGTACACAGCTGGAATAGTGGACTGGACTCAAGCAGAACTAAAAGCAATGGATAGGCAGACCAGAAAAATAATGACAATGAATCATGCCCTTCATCCACGCAGTGACATTGATAGACTTTATCTACCAAGGCAAATAGGTGGGCGTGGACTGCTACAAGTACATCAGATGGTTGAAGAAGAAAAAATGGCTTTGGAAGAATATCTGAAGAACAATGATGAAGATGCACTGAAATTAGTATATCCGGAAGGCTTACTAACTACTGGAGAGACCAAACTGGCCTACAAGAAAGACCAAATGAAGAACAGAATAGAGGCATGGGAAGACAAAGCACTACCTGGCCAATACGTGAAAAAAATAGCTGGGAAAGCAGATAATAATAAAACCTGGCAATGGCTAAGAGCAGGAAATTGAAGAAAGAGACCGAGGGACTAATTCTGGCTGCACAAGACCAAGCCTTAAGGACAAATGCATACAAAGTCAAAATTGAGAAGACAGCAACAGACAGTAAGTGCCGCCTATGCCAAGAAGCTGAAGAAACAGTGGACCACTTGGTAAGCTGTTGCAAGAAGATTGCAAAAACTGATTACAAGCAGCGGCATGACAAAGTAGCAACAATGGTGCATTGGAAGATCTGCAAAAAATATCATTTGCCTGTAAGCAACAACTGGTGGGATCATAAAATAGAGAAAGTCATAGAAAATGATAAAATTAAACTGCTCTGGGACTTCAGAATTCGAACAGACAAGCACCTGCAACATAACACCCCAGACTTAACAATTGTCGATAAGAAAGACAAAAAAGTCTGGATAGTGGACGTGGCAGTGCCTGGAGATAGCAGAATAGAAGAGAAAGAACTGGAGAAGATAACAAAATACAAAGACCTACAAATAGAAATAGAAAGACTGTGGCAAAAGCAAGCAAGGGTAGTACCAATAGTAATAGGCTCCTTTGGTGCAATCCCAAAACAACTGGAGCACCACTTGAACACCATTGGCATTGACAAATTCGCTATTAGTCAATTGCAAAAGGCGGCCTTATTAGGAACTGCTTCCATCCTGCGCCGATATCTGTAATACCATCAAACATCCACATCTGCCTATCCCAGGTCCTGGGTAAGGACTCGATAGGTAGACAAAATGCCAAATCAAGTCTGAACATCTGGCTGACTGTGTGATGATCAATAATAATAATAATAATAAGTTGGAAGGGATAAGAGCCGAGGTGGCGCAGCAGTTAGAGTGCAGTACTGCAGGCCCTTTAGCTGACTGTGTTCAGCAGGTCAGCGGTTCAAATCTCACCGGCTCAAGGTTGACTCAGCCTTCCATCCTTCCGGGGTAGGTAAAATGAGGACCCAGATTGTTGGGGGCAATGTACATATATATATATACATTGCTTACTGGTGTACACCGCTTAGAGAGTGCTTGCACTTAAAGCGGTATATAAGTCTCATAAAATAAAATAAATAAAATAAATCTTGGAGGTCATCTAGTCCAACCCCCTGCTCAGGCAGGAAACCCTACACCATTTCAGACAAAGGGCTGTCCAGTCTCTTCTTAAAAACTTCCAGTGTTGGAACTTTCACCACTTCTGGAGGCAGGTGGTTCCACTGGTTAATTGTCCTCACCGTCAGGAAGTTTCTCCTTAGTTCCAGGTTGCTTCTTTCCTTGGTTAGTTTCCATCCGTTGCTTCTTGTCCTGCCTTCAGGCGCTTTGGAGAAGAGCTTGACTCCCTCTTCTTTGGGGCAGCCCCTGAGAGATTGGAACCCTGCTATCCTATCCCCCCTGGTCCTTCTCTTTGTTAAACTAGACTTAACCAATTCCAGCAACCGTTCCTTATATGTTTTAGCTTGATAGCTTCTCTCCCCGCTTATTGCAATCAACGAAACGAAAGGACTTCGTCATGTCTTGGCTGCTTATTGGCCAGGCCAGCTCACCTCTGGACATGGAGGAAAGTGGCCAGGAGCACATAACAACCCGGTCACCACACTGTTTTTTAAATACTTAATTGTAAAACTAACAAAATATTATTTTAAAAAAAAAATTGCTTACTTTGTCTTCTCCTTCGGATGAGCCACACGGAGAAATATAAGACCACGAGCAGGACGAACAGTCCAGTCCCTCGCAAATCAGTGAAAGACGTTTTGGCATCTTTACGGTCACCACCTTTGTCCTTCTCCTTGACCTGTGAGGTCTCGTTTGGAGGTTGAGCTGCAGCTACTTTCTCTGAAGAGAATAATAATAAGAAGAAGGAGAAGAAGGAGAAGGAGAAGGAGAAGAAGAAGAAGAAGAAGAAGAAGAAGAAGAAGAAGAAGAAGAAGAAGAAGAAGAAGAAGAAGAAGAAGAAGAAGAAGAAGAAGAAAGAAGAAGAAGAAGAAGAAGAAGAAGGAAGAAGAAGAAGAAAAGAATAATCAGATGCCCCACGAAAATAACATTAAGAGTCTGGATGAGGAAGAGTACTACAAATACTTGGGTATCCTTCAAGCTGACAACATCAAGCACACTGAAGTCAAGAAAAAGATTAGAGGTGAATACATCAAGAGAGTGAAGAAGATCTTAAAATCCAAACTCAATGGAGGAAATACCATAAAGGCAATCAACACCTGGGCAATCCCAGTCATTAGGTACACAGCTGGAATAGTGGACTGGACTCAAGCAGAACTAAAAGCAATGGATAGGCAGACCAGAAAAATAATGACAATGAATCATGCTCTTCATCCACGCAGTGACATTGATAGACTTTATCTACCAAGGCAAATAGGTGGGCGTGGAATGCTACAAGTACATCAGATGGTTGAAGAAGAAAAAATGGCTTTGGAAGAATATCTGAAGAACAATGATGAAGATGCACTGAAATTAGTATATCAGGAAGGCTTACTGACTACTGGAGAGAGCAAACTGGCCTACAAGAAAGACCAAAGGAGAACAGACTAGAGGCATGGGAAGACAAGCACTACATGGCCAATACGTTAAAAAAATAGCTGAGAAAGCAGATAATAACAAGACCTGGCAATGGCTAAGAGCAGGAAAATTGAAGAGAGAGACCGAGGGACTAATTCTGGCTGCACAAGACCAAGCCTTAAGGACAAATGCATATAAAGTCAAAATTGAGAAGACAGCAACAGACAGTAAGTGCCGCCTATGCAAAGAAGCTGAAGAAACAGTGGACCACCTGGTAAGCTGTTGCAAGAAGATTGCACAGACTGACAACAAGCAGCGGCATGACAAAGTAGCAACAATGGTGCATTGGAAGATCTGCAAAAAATATCATTTGCCTGTAAGCGAAAACTGGTGGGATCATAAAATGAGAAAGTCATAGAAAATGATAAAATTAAACTGCTCTGGGACTTCAGAATTCAAACAGACAAGCACCTGCAACATAACACCCAGGACTTAACAATTGTCGATAAGAAAGACAAAAAAGTCTGGATAGTGGACGTGGCAGTGCCTGGAGACAGCAGAATAGAGAGAAAGAACTGGAGAAGATAACAAAATACAAAGAACTACAAATAGAAATAGAAAGACTGTGGCAAAAGCAAGCAAGGGTAGTACCAATAGTCATAGGCTCCTTGGGTGCAATCCCAAAACAACTGGAGCACCACTTGAACACCATTGGCATTGACAAATTCGCTATTAGTCAATTGCAAAAGGCGGCCTTACTAGGAACTGCTTCCATCCTGCAACGATATCTGTAATACCATCAAACATCCACATCTGCCTATCCCAGGTCCTGGGTAAGGACTCGATAGGTAGATAGAAATGCCAAATCCAGTCTGAACATTTGGCTGACTGTGCGATGATCAATAATAATAATAATAATAATAATAATAATAATAATAATAATAAAGTTGGAAGGGACCTTGGAGGTCATCTAGTCCAACCCCCTGCTCAGGCAGGACACCCTATACCATTTCGGATAAATGGCTGTCCAATCAAGGTTGGACAGGCAACATCCAAGTTGCCTCCTAATTCTTCGTTTTGCAACTTTAGCTCATCCAGAGCGAATCCAGGTGAGTAGGAGGCACACCTGTCTGGGTGGTGGGAGGGTCTCTCAATCTTAAAGATGGGTGGACTTCAGCTCCCAGAATTCTCCAGTGGGTTGGGAATTGAAGTCCACCCCTCGTAAAGTGGCTAAGGGTGAGTAACATTGACTTGGAGGCGTTTTTAATGGGAAACTGGTACGTAAAATGTGAATACAGATAGCCCTCGACTTATAACAGTCTGTTTAGTGACTGTTTAAAGTTACAATGGCAATGGAAAAGGGGACTTGTGACCATTTTCCACAGTTATGACTGTTGCAGCGTCCCTAGGGTCACGGGATCAAATTCCAGATGCTTGGCAAATGCTTCATCCTTATGACCGTTGCCATGTCCCATGATCAGCTTTTGCAAACTTCTAAATCTGGGGGACAACCTGTTCTCCAAAGCGCCTGAAGGCAGGACAAGAAGCAACGGATGGAAACTAACCAAGGAGAGAAGCAACCTGGAACTAAGGAGAAACTTCCTGATAGTTAGAACAATTAACCAGTGGAACAACCTGCCTCCAGAAGCGGTGAATGCTCCATCACTGGAGGTTTTTAAGAAGAGACTGGACAGCCCTTTGTCCGAAATGGTGTAGGGTTTCCTGCCTGAGCAGGGGGTTGGACTAGATGACCTCCAAGGTCCCTTCCAACTCTATTCTGATGAATTGAAACTTCTCCCTCCTCTAGCAGTTTTCATGGGCAGCCTGAAAAATATCAAACAAGCTTTAGAAATGGCGAGCGAAAGGTCTGCTGGCTTCGAAGAGTCAAGGAGAGAGGCAGCTTCCTAACAGTGAGAACAATGAACCAGGGGAACAGCCTGCCACCAGAAGTTGAGGGTGCTCCAACATTGGTGTTTTTTTAAGAAGAGACTGGACAGCCATTTGTTTGAAATGGTATGGGGTCTCCTGCCTGAGCAGGGGGTTGGACTAGATGACCTCCAAGGTCCCTTCCAACTCTGTGAGTCTGTCCTATTCCTTCCTTCCTTCCTTCCTTCCTTCCTTCCTTCCTTCCTTCCTTCCTTCCTTCCTTCCTTCCTTCCTAGAAGAAGGCTTTTAAGAAGAGACAGCCACTTGTCTGAAATGGCATAGGGTCTCCTGCCTGAGCAGGGGGTTGGACTAGATGACCTCCAAGGTCCCTTCCAACGCCGATCTTCCATTATTCTGTTCCTAACTCTACAACTGCAGTAAGAAAACTGATAAAAATGGGGCAAAAAAGGCACTTAAGAACAATCTTGCTTAGCAATGGCTTCCTTTTCGTCGTAACTGGAGGACCGCCTGTCCACGGGTCTTTTTTTTTTTTTGCTACCCAAAACCCGCCCCAGAAAGTCCTCCAAATACGCCGTCACACCTGTCACGGTGAGGTTGCCTTCGTTGCTCTTCAGAAAGGGCACCTTCAACTGGATGGCGTTCACCCAACAATAGTACATCCCGCTGTCGTTCTTCTCCACGTCCCGGATTTCCATCTGGTAGGTGCGACGGTCTCGTTTGGAAACGCTGTACTTCCGGCTGCCGGGGTCCAGTTTGACTGGCTGGCAGTCGGGGCCCCACTGGTACCAGTTCAGATAATTGCCATAATCGGGGTTGGAGATGGAACAAGTAAACGTCGCCGTTTCTCCTTCCGTTAAACGTAACTGGGCTGGGCGAAAAAGTACTGTGAGAAAGAAAAGAAATGCGCAGGACGAACGTCCGTCACACCGTTGAATGAGCAGGCCCCTCGACGGAGGTTTTAAGGCAGTGTTTCTCAACCTTGACCATTTTAAGACATGTGGACTTCAACTCCCAGAATTCCACAGCCAGCATTGCTGGCTGTGGAATTCTGGGAGTTGAAGTCCACATGTCTTAAAATGGTCAAGGTTGAGAAACACTGTTTTAAGGTTTGAAACAGGTCATCTTTGGCTTATAACCGTGCTTTTAGTGACCAGTTTACAAAGGCACTGAAAAAAAATGACTTACAACCGTTTTTCACACTACCCAACTATGTAACATCATCAATGCTGGAAGGAAGTAGGGTTTCTAGGACTGATGATGTTACCTAGTTGGGTCATGAAATGTCTGCCAGAAAACCACCAAGCTAGGAGAGCACCAAAGGTCCCAGAGATGATGACCACCTCCTCCTCCTTCTCCTCCTCCTCCTCCTCCTCCTCCTCCTCCTCCTCTTCCTCTTCCTCCTCCTCCTCTGCACAAATCCCTCTCCGTTCTAGCACTGATGACGTTACATAGTTGGGTCATGAAATGTCTGCCAGAAAACCACCAAGCTAGGAGAGCACCAAAGGTCCCAGATGACCACCTCCTCCACCTCCTCCTCCGCCCCCTCCTCCTCCTCCTCTCCACAAACCCCTCTCCCTGCTAGCACTGATGACGTTACCTAGTTGGGTCATGAAATGTCTGCCAGAAAACCACCAAGCTCAGAGCGCACCCCCATCGTTCAACCCTGAGCTATAAAAATGTTCTTCTCTCAGAAGTGCGCAACCTGCTAAGATTTAGTCCAGTTTTTGGGGAAAAAAATATTTTTCTCGACTAATTCACGCTGGATCGAACCCCAGATTTTGGGGGGTGGGGTGGGATGTTCCAGCCTTTTACTTCTCTCACCTCGGGCTTTCTGGAAAAAAATAATCCTAGAAATTGCCAGGATATCCTACGGCTGTTTTTCTCTGATTGCGCCTAAAGTCCCACAGAGACGGCTACTCGCGAGGAAGATGATGGGTACCTACCGAAGGGCTTGACCAGCAGAACAGGCGGGCAAAAAAGAAACCCCAGCAGCACAGGGCACAGATTCTGCATGGCCACCCCAAAAAAGTCAGCAACGCGTGGCAGGATGGTCTGAAGCTTCATCCACCAAATGTAGAATTTCAGCCGGAGGGAAAGAAGAACATCAGCAAACTTTGGGGCAACCTGCCACATCAGGAGAGGAGGATGGGATTCTGCCTTCTCGCCCCCCCCCTCAGCGGTACCCCAAGAATTGGCAGATCTGGGGGGGGGGTGAAGCTTCTACCTGCCTCTGCCTTCCTTCCTTGCCTTTGACATATTGAACTGAATCTCTGCAGGGCTGTGAGCAAAGGAAGTGAGAGCAGAGAACGTGAGAGAAGAAAGGCTCAACCTCCCACAGGTTGTTTGCAAACTGCAGCGATGGCAGTTTTCGGAGACACAGGAAGCCCCGTCTCACAGATCAGGCCAGGCCCAGCATCACGGGCGCAAGGTGGCAGGGGGGCCCGCTTGGTTCTTCTGCACCTTGCTAGTAGGGAAGGAAAGGAGGAAGGAGGGAAGGGAGGGAGGGAGGGAGGGAGGGAGGGAGGAAGGAAGGAAGGAAGGAAGGAAGGAAGAAAGAAAGAAAGAAAGAAAGAAAGAAAGAAAGAAAGAAAGAAAGAAAGAAAGAAAGAGAAGGAGGGAGGGAGGAAGGAAGGAAGACAGAAAGAGAATGAAAAGAAAGAAAAAGAAAAACAGAAGGGAGGGAGAAAAAGAAAGAAAGAAAGAAAGAAAGAAAGAAAGAAAGAAAGAAAGAAAGAAAGAAAGAAAGAAAGAGAGGGAGGGAGGGAGGGAGGGAGGGAGGGAGGGAGGGAGGGAGGAAGACAGAAAGAGAATGAGAAGAAAGAAAGAAAGAAAGAAAGAAAGAAAGAAAGAAAGAAAGAAGGAGGGAGGGAGGGAAGGAAGACAGAAAGAGAATGAGAAGAAAGAAAGAAAGAAAGAAAGAAAGAAAGAAAGAAAGAAAGAAAGAAAGAAAGAAAGAAAGAAAGAAAGAAAGACAGGAGGGAGGGAGAAGAAGGAAGGAAGGAAAACAGGAGGGAGGGAGAAAAGAGAAAGAATTAGAAGAAAGAAAAAGAAAGAAAGAAAGAAAGAAAGAAAGAAAGAAAGAAAGAAAGAAAGAAAGAAAGAAAGAAAGAAAGAAAGAAAGAGGGAGGGAAGAAAGAAGGAGAAATAGGAAAAAGAAGAAAAGGAAGGAAGGAAGGAAGGAAAGGCTGATCATTGCTGGAGCATCAGTGCAGGGTTGAACCTGGATTAATGGCTCCCTCTTTCTGAGGGGGGGCACTTTCTGCTTAGCCCCAGAATAACAACGATTTGGTGGCTGGGCTGTTTTGCTATGGAGATAGTCCTCATGACTTACGTGACTGAGTCTGAAATGATGGTCGTCCAGTCCATCGCTCTGGGTCCGTGCCCAATTTTACAATTTCTTTTTTTTTTTTTGCGTCAGTCGTTAAGTGAACGCTACAGTCGTTAAGCGAATAATGACAGTCATATTAAATGAATCCATTTTCATCAATGGGGTGTTTTTGCCGAAAACCAGAAAAAAACAAAACCCAGGGGAGTTTGTGATCCCATGAGCACAGGACGCTGCAAAGGGCGATGAATGAGAGCTGGTTGCCATGTGCCCCAAATGTGGTCACCCTAAGGGTGTGTGTGTGTGTGTGTGTGTGATTGTTTCGGAGGGGAGGCTATCAGAACTTTACAAACAGGTCGTATATAACTGAAGTCCGTCGTAATGTCAAACAGTCACGAAGCGACCTGTCATTAAGTGAGGACTGCCCTTAACCTTTATTAGTAAAGCTCAATGATAAGTAGTTTCAGGATTTTACAACACTATATTATTTTTATTACCTGCTTAAATACATCAAGGTGTATATTAAATATCTTAGGGTACTTTTAAATGTTTTGTTTTCGTTTTATTGCGGTTAGACAATCAATGCTCTAGCCTAGGGGAGAGGGTGGTGTGTGTTTTCCATAATACGTTTGTACAAAGCCAGTCAGTGCACATGTCTGTGCATGTGGGTATATGAATATTTTACTTTATTTATTTATTTATTTGTTATGTTTATGCAGTGTGTATTGGAGGTGGTGACCCTTTGAGAGCTGAATGCAACAAAATCTCATTTTAATGTATACCAATTAATGTACATTCAGAGTGACAATAAAGTTATTTTTCTATTCTATTTTCTATTCTATTCTATTTTCTATTCTATTCTATTTTCTATTCTATTCCTTTTCTATGTTCTATTCCTTTTTTCTATTCTATTCGTTATTCTATTTTATTCATTATTCTATTCTATTTTATTCTATTTGTTATTCTATTCTATATTTCTATTCTACCCTGTATTTCTATTCTACTCTGTATTTATATTCTGTATTTCTATTCTATTCTATTCTATTCTGTATTTCTATTCTATTCTATTCTATGTTTCTATTCTATTCTGTATTTCTATTCTATTCTATTCTATTCTATTCTATTCTATTCTATTCTATTCTGTATTTCTGGTCTATTCTATTCTATTCTGTTCTGTTCTATTCTGTATTTCTGTTCTATTCTATTCTGTATTTGTTCTTTTCTATTCTACTCTCCTGATTACCCAATCAACAGAATGTTTGAGTTCTCACAATCTGTTGTCCTATGAACTAACTCAATATCCTAGGTTCGCACAACGTGCTAAACCCCAAATAACTAATCCAGGTTTTAAAACCCATCCAGCTGACAAAATTCTATGAAAAAACAGGTAGTCCTTGACTTAGGACCATAACTGAGCTCAAAGTTCCTGTTGCTAAGTGAGATCTTTTAAAGTGAATTTTGCCCCATTTTGTGACCTATCTTGTCATTAAGGGAATCGCTGAAGCTGCTAATTGGATAACACGGTCATAAAGTGAAACTGGCTTCCCCCCACTGACTTTGCTTGTCCGAAGGTCGCAAAAGGAGATCACGTGACCCCGGGGGACACTGCGACTGTCATAAATATGAGTCAGTTGCCCTAGCATCCGAATTTTGGTCTCAGGACCACGGGGGACGCTGCAACGGTCGTAAATGTGAAACATGGTCCTAAGCCAATTTTTTTCAAGTGCCCTTGCAACATCAAACAGTCACTAAACAAATTGCTGTAAGTCAAGGACTTCCTGCATTTGCTAAGTCCTTTTCTGCTTCGTTAAACATATTGTATGACATCACCCTGCCAACAAAAGTGCATATAGTCAAGGCCATGGTTTTCCCAGTTGCAATGTAGGCTGAGAAAGTTGGACCATAAGAAAGGCTGAGAAAGGCCAAAGAATGGAGGCTTTTAAACTCTGGTGCTGGAGAAGACTCCTGAGAGTCCCCTGGACTGCAAGGCGCTCCAACCGGTCAGTCCTAGAGGAGATCAACCCCGACTGCTCTTTAGAAGGCCAGATCCTGAAGTGGAAACTCAGGTACTTTGGCCACCTAATGAGAAGGAAGGACTCAGTGGAGAAGAGCCTGATGCTGGGAAAGATGGAGGGCAAGAGAAGAAGGGGACGACAGAGAAGGAGGTGGCCGGATGGAGTCCCTGAAGCAGGAGGCGTGAGCTTTAATGGACTCCAGAAGATGGTAGAGGACAGGAAGGCCTGGAGGAACGTTGTCCATGGGGTCGCGATGGGTCAGACACGACTTCGCAACAACATGAACGTAATCAGTGGGGAATGTTTAAGAAAGTTTAAAATCTGCCATGTCGGCGAGGCATGTTTATCTGAAGTCATTCTAGAATTTCCTCTTTTAAAAGAATCAACCAAAGGCAGGAACTGGCAAGCTTTTTCCATTTGAGGTTTTAGAAGAACCGAAAACAAATAGCGACGGTTCATTTTCTCTTTGATTTTGTGTCTGATTGTTATCTATCAAGATATCGAGATGGTTCGCTTTTGAGTAGGTGGTCCCGTCACCCTCGTGACGTTTGAGCGAAAGGTAAGCAAAATTGGCGCTGCCGAATATTAATTCAGCTTTTTTCTGGGCGAGAACAAAGGGATCTTGATTTAGTCTGCTCGGCAGGATCTCTGATTTCGTGGTTTTTAGATGTCAGCCACTAAATGTCACTTATTTTTGTGCTAGAATCAAGATCACATGAAGTGTTAATGCCACTTTACAGGGCCTTGGTAAGGCCACACTTGGAATGCTGCATCCAGCTTTGGTGATCACAAAGTAAAAAATATGTTGAGACTCTAAAAATGAGTGCAGAGAAGAGCCACAAAGATGATTAAAGGAGTGGAGTGTCTAGTTTAATGAAAAGAAGGACTAGGGATGACATAACAGCAGTCTTCTAATATCTGAGGGGCTCCCCAAAGAATAGAATAGAATAGAATAGAATAGAATAGAATAGAATAGAATAGAATAGAATAGAATAGAATAGAAGGTGGAAAGGACCTCGGAGGTCTTCTAGTCCAGCCCCCTGCTCAAGCAGGAGAACCTATACAGTCCCAGACAAGTGACTATCTAGCCTCTTCTTAACAACCTCCAGTGATGGAGCACACACGATTTCTGGTGGCAGGCTGTTCCCCTGGTTAATTGTCCTCAAACTGAGGAAGTTTCTCCTTAAATCCAGATTGTTTCTTTCTTTGTTCAGTTTCCAACCATTGTTTCTTGTCCTGCCCTCTGGTGCTTTGGAGAATAACATGACCCCCTCTTCTGTATGGCAGCCCCTCATATACTGGAATGCTGCTATCATGTCTCCCGTTTCTTCTTTTCTTTAGACTGGCCAAACCCAAGTCCTGCAGCCGTTCTTTGTATGTTTTAGTTTCTAGGCCTCTGATCATCCTAGTTGCTCTAGACCAGGGGTAGGCAACCTTGGCTCTTTTATGACTCATGGACTTCAACTCCCAGAATTCCTGAGCCAGCCATGCTGCCTGGAAAGAGAGAGGTTTCCAAGCTGAGTCATGCTGGCTGAGGAATTCTGGGAGTTGAAGTCCACGAGTCATGAAGGGGCCATAGTTCCCCCATGCTGGCTGAGGAATTCTGGGAGTTGAAGTCCACGAGCCATGAAGGGGCCATAGTTCCCCCATGCTACCTCAGGAATTCTGGGAGTTGAAGTCCACAAATCATGAAGGGGCCATAGTTCCCCCACGCTGGCTGAGGAATTCTGGGAGTTGAAGTCCACAAGTCATGAAGGGGCCATAGTTCCCCCATGCTACCTCAGGAATTCTGGGAGTTGAAGTCCACGAGTCATAAAAGAGCCAACGTTGCCTACCCCTGCCCTAGGCCTAGGCCTCTTTATGACTCGTGGACTTCAACTCCCAGAATTCCTGAGCCAGCCATGCTGAGGGGAAAGGGAGAGGTTTCCAAGCTGAGCCATGCTGACTCAGGAATTCTGGGAATTGAAGTCCGCCAGTCATGAAGGGGCCATAATTCCCCCATGCTGGCTGAGGAATTCTGGGAGTTGAAGTCCATGAGTCATGAAGGGGCCATAGTTCCCCCATGCTGGCTGAGGAATTCTGGGAGTTGAAGTCCACAAGTCATAAAAGAACCAAGGTTCCCTACCCTTGCTCTAGACTAATTCCATTATAATTCCACTCGATTCCATTAATTCTATTCTATTTCCATTCTCTATTCTATTTCTGTTTCTATTCTATTCTATTCCAGGAAAGAAAGGCGACTCTTCACTTTTCTATCTCTATTCTCAGCTGTCTCTGGCCCTTGAGCATTATAGACATGCGGCGGGCTAGAGCGGCACCACTGCCCCGCTTGGTCGACGTGCTTGGTGCGGGGCGAAGCTTTATTCCCGGAAGTGACGTTCAGGAAAAAGTCTCTTGGCGGAACGAAAGAGCAGGAACCGGAAGTTCGGGGCGTCGTCGCCCTAGCAACGCCGTAGGGACGCTGTCTCCAGCGAAGCGGCCGCTGCCATGGCGGAACCGGCGCCGCCCTTGACGCCCACCCCGACCACGACCCCGACGCCGGTGGCCCGGCAGAGCAGCGCCCCCAGCCCCGCCCGGGCCTACCACCTGCGCCCGGCCTTCCACCACAGGTCAGCCGGCTCTCCTGTGATCCCCTTTTTCGCTCCTTTGGTCCTACAACAGCCTTGCGAGGTGGGCCGGCGCGGGGCATTGTGGGAAGCCAGAGCGAGCCTGATCGTCGGGTCTGTAATTGGCCCCAAGTCACCCAGCTGGCATTCATGCCTAAGGCGGGACTAGAACTCACCGTCTCCTGGTGATTGGCCCAAAGTCACCCCGTCAATTTTATGCCTAAGGCAGGACTAGAACTCACCGTCTCCTGGCGATTGGCCCAAAGTCACCCAATTGGCATTTATGTCTAAGGCGGGACTAGAACTCACAATCTCCTGGCGATTGGCCCCAAATCACCCAAGTGACATTCATGCCTAAACTGGGACTAGAACTCACCGTCTCCTGGTGATTCTTCCAAGGTCACCCAGCTGGCCTTCATGTCTAAGGACTAGAACTCACCGTCTCCTGGTGATTGGCCCCAAAATCACCCAGCCTGCTTGACTTGACTTGAACTGAACAACTGCAGTGACTCCCTTAACAACTGCAAGGCGTTGTAAAATGGGGCCAAATTCACTTAACAACGTCTTCGCTTAACAACAGAAATGTTGGGCTCCATTATGGTCGTACGTTGAGAACCACCTGTATACAACTTGGCCGGTCTCTAGAAGCTGTTTCTTCTCCAAAACCAGAAGCCCTTTATTATAGAATTTGCACAAGGGCAAAAAAAAAAAATAGATTAAAGGAGAACTATTGAAAGGATAGAAAGCTTTTTTTTTCTATTTTCAGTGGCTTGTGCATGAAACGGGGAAAAAGATGGTTCAATCAATTTAGACGCACAAAAAAAGTGTGCAGCTCTCCCTTTTGGAGAAATGTCCATGATCAATCTGTGGTCCTCAACTTAGCCCCCGGTCCTCGCGCTTACGTCCAATTTGTGCTTGCCTGTTTTCTAGGGAGACAGATCTTCGGAAGCCAGAGTTTGCAGCCTCCATCTTTCCTACCTGTAGCAGACCCTAAGACTGCTATTTCCCTCTTTTCTTTTTTCTTTTTAAAGATTTTATTGATTTTTTTCTTACATACGTATTATAATTTTTCAACCAACGTGCTGTCTGGGTCCTTTCCCCCCCCCCTTTTTTTTTTTTCTTAGGTTCCGTTCTTCCATGGTGAAAGATTGCATCCACGAAATCCTGAAGGAAGAGCTGGCCAATGTGCAGTACAACCCGGAGGAGATCGGAGGCCGAACCAAAGTCTTATCCGAGCTGATCCGCGACAGACTAAAAGGTCTTTCGATCCGCCTGCATTTGCACACCGGGGACCTTCTCCCCGCCAACCGAGCGTTAACGTCGTCCTGGGCTGAGGGCTGCTGTGATTTTTTTTAATCCTAATTAATTTTTCTTGGCGCTCTTTTTTTCAGAGAAAGGATTGCACCGATACAAAATACTGGTGCAAGTTGTGATCGGGGAACAGAGAGGCGAGGGGGTGAAGTGAGTTTGTCTTCAGTTAAAATTAGGGCTCTCCTTTTGGGTTCTTCAGTCATACTGGTTACATTACAGGCAGTCCTTGACTTACAACAGTTAGTTTGTTTAGTGACTGTTTGAAGTTACAACGGCACTGAAAAAAGGGTCTTAGGACCGTTTTGCACCCTTACGACCGTTGCAATCTCCCCGTGGTCAGGCGATCAAAATTATGACGGTCGCAGCATCCTCCAGGGTCATGTGATCCCCTTTGGCGACCTTCTGACGAGCAAAAATCAATGGGGGAAGCCAGATTCACTTAACAACTAACAGGATTCACAAGCGTAGTGAGAAAGGTCTTAAAGTGGGGAGAACTCACTTAGCCACTGTCTTTCTTAGCAACAGAAATGTTGAGCTCAGTTGTTATAAGTTGAGGACTACCTATATATAGTTCTTCTCCGTAGAACAGTGGTTCTCAACCTTTTTAATGCCGCGACCCCCAAACGGCCGTAAGTCAAGGACTACTCAACCGGTCATAAGTCAAGGACTACTCAACTGGTGCAGCACCATTTGCAGAATGGGACTTTTGGCGGGCTCAGCAGGGCAGAGACAGCCTGGACAATTCCTATTGGCTTTTGAAAGCCAATAGAATTAGACTCAATTCAAGAGAGTCTCTTCTATTGGCTTTCAAAAGCCAATAGAATAAAAGGGAGGAGCACAGCTAAGGAAAAGGGGGAAAAAATGGTGGACTGCATTGTTTGGCGACCCCCATGAAATGGTCGCTCGACCCCAAATGGGGTCCCGACCCACAGGTTAAGAACCGCTGCCTTAGAAGGATCTGGATAGCTAGTGGGGCTACACCTGGAATACTGCGGCCAATTTTGGTCACCACAACACAAAAAAGTTGTTGAGAGTTTGGAAAAAATTCAGAGAAGAGCAACTAAGATGATCCAAGGCCTGGAGACTGAAACATACGAAGAACAGCTGCGGGACTTGGGTTTGGCTGGTCTAAAGAAAAGAAGAAATAGGGGAGACCTGATAGCAGTATTTTAGTATTTGAGGGGCTGCCCCAAGGAAGAGGGGGTCAAGCTAGTCCCCAAAGAACCCAGAAAGCAGGACAAGAAGCAACAGATGGAAACTGATCAAGGAGAGAAGCAACCTGGAATTAAGGAGAAATTTCCTAACAGAGAGGACAATTAACCGGTGGAACAGCTTGCCACCAGAAATCATGGGCACTCCATCACTGGAGGTTTTTAAGAAGAGACTGGACAGTCACTTGTCTGAGATGGTATAGGACACAGGTCGGCAACCTGCGGCTCCGGAGCCGCATGCGGCTCTTTGAGACTTCCCCTGTGGCTCCCAGCCTCCTCTGCCTTTGCAGAGAGAGGCAATTGCACTTCCCTGCTTCTCTCTCTTTCTCTCTCTCTCTGTGTGTTTGTGTGTGTGTGTGTGTGTGTGTGTGTAAAAGAGAGTGCACTCACATTGTTCTCCGAGGAGCTGAAAAGCTTCCTGGGCGGAGCTCCTCCCTTTGCTGCGTCTCTGCAGGAAGCAGGAAGGGCAGGAGAGAGCTAGCTAGCCCAGCTAGGCTGACTCAGGAATTCTGGGAGTTGAAGTCCATGAGTCATAAAAGAGACGAGGTTGCCTACCCCTGAGATTGTTGGAGAACAACTTGAAGCTTGCCAGGTGAGCAGCAGATGGGGGGAGGAGAAAGAGAGAGAGAGAAAGAGAGAGAGAGAGGGAGGGGGAGAGAGAGAGGAAAGAGAGAGAAAGAAAGAGAGCGGGGGGGAAGAGGAGTGGCAGACCAAGGGCAGAGAGGGAGGGAGGGAGAGAGAGAGAGAGAGACCCTTTTGACATCTAAAATGAAGATAACACTGCATATATCCTTTTTTTACCTGTGTGTGTATGTAATTTTATTCTCTTAAAGCATTCTCTCGGTGATCATTGGTTTAATAGTATGGATATTCCCAAGAGTCATATTTTTACTTTTATTTTTAATGTGTGTGTGTGTGTGTGTGTGTGTGTGTATACACATACACATACACAAACACTCTCTCTCTCTCTCTCTCTCTCTCTCTCTCACACACACACACACACACACACCTATAATAAAGATAAAAAAGGATATATGCAGTGTTATCTTCATTTTAGATATCAAAAGGGTTTTGCGGCTCCTGGTGTTTTGTTTTTGGTGGGAAACGGGTTCAAGTGGCTCTTTGAGTGTTTTGGGTTGCCTACCCCTGGTATAGGAGGTTCTCCTGCTTGAGCAGGGGGCTGGACTAGAAGACCTCCAAGGTTCCTTCCAGCTCCTATTCTATGCTATATTAGTTGGAGAGATACTCTTCTTTCATGTCAGAATTTGTCAGTTCACATTTCCATCATTTTTATAGTAGGTGACCAGTCTCTTCTTAAAAACCTCCAGTATTGGAGCATTCACAAATTCTGGTGGCAGGTTGTTCCATTGATTAATTGTCCTCACTGTCAGGAAATTTCTCCTTAGTTCTAGATTGCTTCTTTACTTGATTAGTTTCCATCTGAGGTTTCTTGTCTTGCCTTCAGGCGCTTTGGAGAATATAGCTTGACTGCCTCTTCTTTGGGGCAACCCCTGAGATATTGGAGCACTGCTATCATGTCACCCCTCATCCTTCTCTTCATTAAACTAGACATACCCAATTCCAGCAGTCATTCTTTGTATGTTTTACCCTCCTAATCATCTTTGTTTCTCGTCTCTGCACTCTTTCCAGAGTCTCAACATCTTTTTTACATTGTGGTGACCAAAACTGGATGCAGCATTCCAAGTGTGACCTTAACAAGGCCTTGTAAAGTGGTATTAATACTTCACGTGATCTTGATTCTATCCCTCTGTGAATGCAGCCCAGCACTGTATTGGCCTTTTTGGCAGCTGCAGCACACGGCTGGCTCCTATTTAAGGGATTGTCCACTAGGACTCCGAGATCCCTCTCACAGTTGCTACTATTGAGCAAGGTACCACCTATCCCATACCTGTGCATTTGATCACCTGACCTTGACGGTAAGTGTGGAAAATGGTCATTTGTCCCCTTTTTCAATGCCGTGATAACTTCGAGCAGTCACTAAACCAACTGGTGTAAGTTGAGACCACCTGTACTTCTAACTAGCGTCCTATTTTTATTTTTTATTTTAGCATGGCTGCTCGTTGTTTCTGGGATGCTGACACTGATAACTACGCTGAGGATGTTTTCATCAATGTAAGTTTCTTAGTTTTCTCTCTCTCTCTTTTTTTTAACCAATGTTCTTCACCAGGTAGCTGTTAAAATGTGTGCTGCCAACATCACATCAGAGGGAGTGTGTCAGTCTGACCTATGTCTCTATAGGGCAGGAGTAGGCAATCTTGGCCCTTTTATGACTCGTGGACTTCAACTCCCAGAATTCCTCAACCAGCATGGGGGAACTATGCCCCCCTTTATGACTTGTGGACTTCAACTCCCAGAATTCCTCAGCCAGCGTGGGGGAACTATGGCCCCTTCATGACTCGTGGACTTCAATTCCCAGAATTCCTGAGTCAGCATGGCTCAGCTTGGAAACCTCTCTCTTTCCCCTCAGCATGGCTGGCTCAGGAATTCTGGGAGTTGAAATCCATGAATCATAAAAGAGCCAAGATTGCTTACCCGTGCTATAGGTAGTCCTCACCTTATAACCCAACATTTATGTTGTTCAGCGAGACATTTGTTGAGTGACCTTTGCCCCATTTTACGACCTTTCTTGCCAGAGTTGTTAAGTGAATCACTGCAGTCGTTAAGTTAGCAACGCAGTGGGTTCCAGTTTCCAGCAAAACTGCACCCTTAGCAAACACTGAGTCCCCACTTAACGACCGCCATGTTCGCTTAATGACCTCTGCAAAAAAAAATGTAAAACCTTTTTATATTAAAAATAAAAAACACATCATTTTTTTATTTTTAATTAGATTAGATAACCTTTATTGTCATTTTTTCCCTGTGGGCACAACGGCACACATTAAAAATGAAATTTAGTTCCTTGCTCTCAAAATGTTACTTACACAACACACATTTAAAACATGCTACATAGGTTTAAACATAGGTGTAAACCTACACCCTTACATATAAATAACGTATAAATATTAATCACTATCACTATTATATAAACATTTTAGATAAACTTTCATAACCACCGCAGCATATTAACCCTGCCGTCGTATCTCGAGAACTACCTGTATGTGTAAATAATAATAATTAAAAAAGTTTGGCCCTTGAACCAGAATAGAATAGAATAGAATAGAATAGAATAGAATAGAATAGAATAGAATAGAATAGAATAGAATAGAATAGAATAGAATAGAATAGAATAGAACAGAACAGAACAGAATATGAATATAGAATTGAATGGAATAGAATATAGAATAGAATAGAATAGAATAGAATAGAATAAAATAGAATAGAATAGAATAGAATAGAATTGGAAGGGACCTCTGCTGAGGCAGGAAACCCTATACCATTTCAGTCAATAGGATAGGATAGGATAGGATAGGATAAGTTGGAAGGGACCTTGGAGGTCATCTAGTCCAACCCCCTGCTCAGGCAGGAAACCCTATACCATTTCAGACAAATGGCTCTCCAGTCTCTTCTTAAAATATTTTGCAACATAACAGACCCAGAAAGGGCAGTTATTAACACCTGTAATCTAAATTTTAATAGGATTAACGATGGAGGATGCAGAACGGGAAAAGTAATAAATTGCCGGGGGGGGGGGAGGGAAAGAAAGGAATAATTTACTAGGACCACAGACCAAGCCATCTTCCACGAAAGGCCAGTTTGTATCATTTGTGGCTTTTTAGCAAGGGGGGTGGGGAAAGAAAAAGTAAAATAAGCAGAAAGATTACATATATATAATATTAATGGTGCGAAGAAAATCTCTCCCCTCCTATAGGAACCAAGTGAGGTTAAGTGGGAGATCTGGGATTGACGCTAAAGAGCTGTTTCTGCCTCCTAGATGTAGCTCCTCGACTTATGACCGCCACTGAGCCCAACATTTTATGTCGCTAGGTGAGAAGTTGGTTCAGTGAGCTTTGCTCCGTTTTGCAACCTTTCTCGCCGCCGTTGTTAAGCGAATCGCTGCCGTCGTTATGTTAGTATCACGGTCGTTAAGTGAATCCGGCTTCCCCCGTTGACTTAGCCTGTCAGGTGGTTGTAAAAGGGGATCACCACACACACACACACACACACACCGGGGACGCTGCAATCGTCACAAATGCGAGTCAGTTGCGAAGCGTCTGGATTTTGATCCCAGGACGAAGGGGACGCTGCGACGGTCGTACGTCAGTGTGGAAAACGGTCGTAAGTCACTGTTTTCAGTGCCGTCGTAACTTTGAATGGACGGTCATTAAACGAACGGTTGTAAGTCGAGGACTACCTGTATAAGCCAGAAGTGGGCCAGAAAAAGCTGAGAGAGCAAGAAGGACCCCCCAGTCCTTTCCCTTTTCTCCTCGTCCTCCTCCTCCTCCTTGCATACCCCACTGTCTTCTAGCCCTGATGATGTTCCCTAGTTGGGTCATGAAACGTCTGCAAGAAAAACCAGCCAGCTCAGAGAGCATGAAAGACCCCACAGTCCTTTCCCTTTTTTCCTCCTCCTCCTCCTCCTCCTCCTCCTCCTCCTCCTCCTCCTCCTCCTCCTCCTCCTCTTCCTCTTCCTCTTCCTCCTCCTCCTCCTTCTTGCATACCCCAGTGTCTTCTAGCCCTGATGATGTTCCCTAGTTGGGTCATGAAACGTCTGCAAGAAAAACCACCCAGCTCAGAGAGCATGAAAGACCCCACAGTCCTTTCTCTTTTTTCCTCCTCCTCCTCCTCCTCCTCCTCCTCCTCCTCCTCCTCCTCCTCCTCCTCCTCCTCCTCCTCCTCCTCCTCCTCCATCTCTTCGTGCTCCTTGCATACCCCACTCCTTTGTAGTCCTGATGACGTTCCCTAGTTTTGTCATGAAACATCTACAAGAAAAAAAACAAAGCTCAGAGAGCACCAAAGACCCCACAGTCGTCATCCTCCTTCTCCTCCTCCTCCTCCTCCTCCTCCTCCTCCTCCTCCTCCTCCTCCCTGCATACCCCACTCCCTCTTAGCCCTCTTCTGTTGGTACCTGCTTCTTTTCCTTATTCAGAAAAAAAAAACCCTTTTTCATGCTGGTTCTGTCCAGTTGCAGTTTCACTCACAACCCTTCTTTTGGTCTCTCCAGGAAAGCCTCTTCTGTGTGGCTGTCGTCTTTGGCTGTTTTTTCTACTAAAGCCGACTGCAAGTTCAAAGAAGAACGGCATTTCTTTTAAAGATCCTGAAGAAAGCAGGACGATACGCTCCGTTTCCCTCCCTCACGCCTTCCTGTGTGTGCTTGCACACGCGTGTATACCAGTGTACATAGTCCATTGTGAGAAATATAATTTCCAAATGACGTTGTTAAGGTACCACAGACTCCAGCTCTTGCTGTTTTGTATATAAAGAGAACTCCAGCCCGGTTGCTCTGGGAATGGAGAACAACCCACAGTTCATTGCATAAATAATTTCTCTACTGTGTTGCCCCCTGTGCTTAGTGACATCTGTACATGGGTGCTGAATGTGACCATTTAAATACAGGTGTTAACAAACGTTACCCTTATCCTTGCAAATCCATTGCCCGTGTCTCAATCTGTTCCTGTATTTTGAAATCTCAGTGAGTGTTATAATACCTTGCATTATTCATCCCTGCGTGTTTCTACATGAGTCCCGTTCCTGACTTTCTGCTGAAAGTTGCTCTCTCCCTTCTACCAATATTCCCATATTCCTTCTATGTTTCCTTCTGGAAAAGAATCGCTGGAAGGCCAAACTGTCGTTCAAATTGCTTGATGCAAAACAGAATAGAATAGAAGCTGGAAGGGACCTGGGAGGTTTTCTAGTCCAGCCCCCTGCTGGAGCAGGAGAACCTATACCATCTCAGACAAGTGACTGTCTGTCTAGCCCAGTGGTTCTCAACCTTTTTAATGCCGTGGCCCCCAACCGGTCGTAAGTCGAGGACTACTCAACCGGTCGTAAGTCGAGGACTACTCAACTGGTGCAGCACCGTTTGCAGAATGGGACTTTTGGCGGGCTCAGCAGGGCAGAGACAGCCTGGACAATTCCTATTGGCTTTTGAAAGCCAATAGAGTTAGACTCTATTCAAGAGAGTCTATTCTATTGGCTTTCAAAAGCCAATAGAATAAAAGGGAGTAGCACAGCTAAGGAAAAGGGGGGAAAAAATGGCGGACTGCGTTGTTTGGCGATCCCCGTGAAATGGTCGTTCGACCCCAAATGGGGTCCCGACCCACAGGTTGAGAACCACTGGTCTAGCCTCTTCTTAAAAACCTCCAGTGATGGAGCGCCCACGACTTCTGGTGGCAAGCTGTTCCACCGGTTAATTATCCTCACTGTTAGGAAGTTTTGTCCTTAATTTTCTCTTTGGTCAGTTTCCAACCATTGTTTCTTGTCCTGCCCTCTGGTGCTTTGGAGAATAACGTGATCCCCCCTCTTTTTGGGGGGGCAGCCCCTCAAATACTAGAAGACTGCTATCATGTCTCCCCTGTTTCTTCTTTTCTTTAGACTAGCCAAACCCAAATACACAGGTAGTCTTCAGCTTACCACAGTTCATTTAGTGACCATTCAAACTTACAACAGCACTGAAAAAAAGTGATTTAGCGCCATTTTCCACACCACTGTTACCCCATCCCCACGGTCCCATTATCACAATTCAGAGACTCATCCACTGATTCATGTTTATGACGGTCACAGTGTCCCAGCTTCACGTGATTTCCCGCTTTTGCGACTTCCGACAAACAAAGTCAACAGGGAACCCAGATTTACTTGACACCCGTGTTACAAACTTAACAACTGCAGTGACTGACTTAACAATTCTGGCAAGAAAAATGATAAAATGAAGTAAAACTCAACAAAGGTCTCACTTAGCAACAGAAGGTCTGGCCTCTGTTGTTGTAAGGCGAGGACTGTGTACTGAGTATATATTTTCACAGCAGCCTAAGCCAAAACTCATACATGTGGAGCCACAGACTCTATTTTGCGACGAGCATCTAAATTGTAATTGGAACCAGGGTGGTTAACTGTTGCATAAATCCAGTTTAACAGATTTTTATTTTAAATCTTATGATGGAAAACCTTTCCTCATTGGAGAGCGCGTTTCTAGCCAACTTCATCATGGAAGAGAAATCTTGGTGGTGGGCGAGAAAAAAAGACAACACGCCTCCTTATCTTAGCTATCAGATTCCAGATCATCTAAAAAGGCCTTTTTTAAAAAAAAAAAATCTGCGGGGGTGGAAGGGTGGAGCTTTTTAATAGTCAGCATTTAAAAAAATACATATATTTAATCTGGCAAGGAGATAACAGCAAAGCCAGTCAGAAATTTCTGCGGGTCCACCTTCGTAGTTTCCATTGTAAAATTATCATAATCAAGTTACTTCCTGCCTCCTCCGTCAGGAATTTAGCAACTGATAATTGCTTATCTTCCTGTAATTAAAGGTTGAGGAGGAGGAATTCACACACAGACAATGCTGGGTGATCTACCTACTGGGGACATCTTGCTAATGTTCAAAGATAAGTCCTTGTGCTTGAGCAGAGTTATTTTGAGGCCCAAATGAGAGAGAAAAACTCGTGCTTTGGCTAAGCTGCCTTACCAGGCCCGCCTCTGTAGAGCCTTTTACAGGTGGTTGCTATAACATGTAAATAATCTAGGACACGGATAGTCCTTCACTGGAAGTTTTTAAGAAGAGACTGGACAGCCATTTGTCTGAAATGGTACAGGGTTTCCTGCCTGAGCAGGGGGTTGGACTAGATGACCTCCAAGGTCCCCTCCAACTTTACTACTACTACTACTACTACTACTACTACTACTACTGTTATTATTGTTGTTGTTGTTGTTATTTATGACCACAGCTGGGAGTCAGGACTAGAATTTCCATAGAAATAGAAGAGAGTGGAGTGGAGTGGAATTGGGAATGGAATTGGGAATGGAATGGTATAGAATAGAATAAAATAGAATAGAATAGAATAATGAGGTAGAATAGAATAGAATAAGCAATAGTAAAATAGAATAGAATAGAATAAGCAATAGTAAATTAGAACAGAATAGAATAGAATAGAAAATAGAATAGAATAAAGAATGGAATAGGATAGGATAGAATAGAATAAGCAATAGTAAATTAGAATAGAATAGAATAAAGAATTAATAGAATAGAATAGAAAATAGAATAGAATAAAGAATTAATAGAATAGAATAAGCAATAGTAAATTAGAATAGAATAGAATAAAGAATTAATAGAATAGAATAGAACAGTGGTTCTCAACCTTTTTAATGCCGCGACCCCCAACCGGTCGTAAGTCGAGGACTACTCAACCGGTCGTAAGTCGAGGACTACTCAACTGGTGCAGCACCGTTTGCAGAATGGGACTTTGGCGGGCTCAGCAGGGCAGAGACAGCCTGGACAATTCCTATTGGCTTTTGAAAGCCAATAGAATTAGACTCTATTCAAGAGAGTCTCTTCTATTGGCTTTCAAAAGCCAATAGAATAAGAGGGAGGAGCACAGCTAAGGAAAAGGGGGGAAAAATGGCGGACTGCGTTGTTTGGCGACCCCCATGAAATGGTCATTCGACCCCAAAGGGGGTCCCAACCCACAGGTTGAGAACCACTGGAATAGAAAATAAAATAGAATAGAATAATAACTTTGTCACTTTAAATCAGGGGTCTTCAAACTTGGCCCTTTTATGGCATGCCTGGCTGAGGAATTCTGGGAGTTGACCTCCACAAGTCATAAAAGGGCCAGGTCTGAAGACCCCTGCTTTAAATGTAAACTAATCAGCATCCATTAAAATGAGATTCCACTGCATTCAGCTCTCAAAGGCTCCCCACCGTGCTAAACGAGGCAATTGTTAAATGCGTTTTGCCCCGTTTTACAACCTTTCTTGCCTTGCCACCGTTGTCAAGGGAATTATTGAATTAGTCAGCTAGTAAGGTGTTTGCTGAGTGAACCCAGCTTCCCCCGCAGACTCTGGTTGTCCAAAGGTCGCAAAAGGGGATGATCAGGTGACCCTGGGAAGGACGCTGCGACCGTCCTAAACACGAGTCCGTTGCCGAGCCTCCGAATTTTGATCCCGCGACCCACGGGGGATGCTGCAAGGACCGTTAACTAGGAAACACAGTCCCAAGTTGCTTATTTCAGTGCCATTGTCAGAAGAAGAAGAAGAAGAAGAAGAAGAAGAAGAAGAAGAAGAAGAAGAAGAAGAAGAAGAAGAAGAAGAAGAAGAAGAAGAAGAAGAAGAAGAATAAGAAGAAGAAGAAGAAGAAGAAGAAGAAGAAGAAGAAGCAGAAGAAGAAGAAGAAGAAGAAGAAGAAGAAGAAGAAGAAGAAGAAGAAGAAGAAGAAGAAGAAGAAGAAGAAGAAGAAGAAGAAGAAGAAGAAGAAGAAGAAGAAGAAGAAGAAGAAGAAGAAGAAGAAGAAGAAGAAGGTCAAGCAGGAAACGCTATACCATTTCAGACAAATGGCTGTCCAGTCTCTTCTTAAAAACTTCCAGTGTTGGACCATCCACCGCTTCTGGAGGCAGGTGGTTCCACAGGTTAATTGTTCTAACTGTAAGGAAGTTTCTCCTTAGTTCCAGGTTGCTTCTCTCTTTGATGAGTTTCCATCCATTGGTTCTTGTCCTGCCTTCAGGCGGAACAGTGGAGGGCTACTTATAAATAAGGATAGCTATGGCAAATCTTGACAGCATACTAAGAAGCAGAGACGTCACCCTGCCAACAAAAGCACGCATAGTCAAGGCCACGGTTTTCCCAGTTGCAATGTGTGGCTGTGAAAGCTGGACCATAAGAAAGGCTGAGAAGAATGGAGGCCTTTGAGCTCTGCTGCTGGAGAAGACTCCTGCGAGTCCCCTGGACTGCAAGGCGATCCAACCGGTCAGTCCTGGAGGAGATCCACCCCGACTGCTCTTGAGAAGGTCAGATCCTGAAGTTGAAACCCAAGTACTTTGGCCACCTAATGAGAACGAAGGACTCCCTGGAGAAGGGCCTGATGCTGGGAAAGATGGAGGGCAAGAGAAGAAGGGGACGACGGAGAAGGAGGTGGCCGGAGGGAGTCCCTGAAGCAGGAGGCGTGAGCTTCAATGGACTCCAGAAGATGGGAGAGGACAGGAAGGCCTGGAGGGACGTTGTCCATGGGGTCGCGAGGGGTCGGACACGGCTTTGCGACTAACAACAACTTATAAATAAATAAATGCTGAGAGATACGTGCTCCAGTACTACAGGCCTCCTCTCCACCAGAGGGTGTCCACGAGGAGCCTCAAACTTGCAACTCCAGACCTGAATTTCCATTTCCCAGGACCGGCTTGAACCAAACTCCAGGGTCGCCAGCCTGGTAGCGTTGCGAGACCTTCTTGAAATTAGCCAGGCCCTGTCCCTGGTGGGCTTCTTTGGGTGCCCAGCCCCTAAAAGACCTCCTGCCTAACAGACCCTAAGCCCTGGGCCTGTAAGGAGGCCCCACAAATTGGGGTCCCCTGTTTCTCCAGTTCCCCCTGGCCTCCGAGCCCGCTTTCGTCCCATATGCCCACCATGTCGGACAGACCCCTCAAACACAGGCAGAAATCCAAGCGGTGCGCCCTCTGCGAGGCTGCCTTTCCCGGGGCTGCGGAGGGAGACCTGTGTCCCCGCTGCTCCCTGCAGCCTCTCAGCCCCCCCGGTTTGGCAGCAGGGGGCTTAGGGTCCCAGTGGAGGGAGCCCAGGGCCCCTTCCCCCTCCGTCAGCTTGGGGGAAGACCCCAAGGATCCAGACCCCGAAGAGGACCCAGAGATCCAGAAGCTGGACTGGGTAAGTTTGAGCTGTCAATCTTTTTTCGGTCTACGGCCCTGACTCAAATCTCGTCTACAGGAGGACGGGTGTTTTTATTTTAAATTTTAATTTTGAGCCCACAAAATTTTAATTTTGAGCCCACAAAAATTTGCTCCTATCTGTTCCCCTGGTGCAAATACAGTTTGTTGTTGTTAGTTGCGAAGTTGTGTCCAACCCATTGCAACCCCACAGATTATTATTATTATTATTATTACTATCAATCATCGCACAGTCAGCCAGATGTTCAGACTGGATTTGGCATTTTGTCTACCTATCGAGTCCTTACCCAGGACCTGGGATAGGCAGATGTGGATGTTTGATGGTATTACAGATATCGTCGCAGGATGGAAGCAGTTCCTAGTAAGGCCGCCTTTTGCAATTGACTAATAGCGAATTTGTCAATGCCAACGGTGTTCAAGTGGTGCTCCAGTTGTTTTGGGATTGCACCCAAGGAGCCTATGACTATTGGTACCACCCTTGCTTGCTTTTGCCACAGTCTTTCTATTTCTATTTGAAGGTCTTTGTATTTTGTTATCTTCTCCAGTTCTTTCTATTATTATTATTATTATTATTATTATTATTATTATTATTATTATTATTATTATTATTATTATTATTAAAATAATACGTTCCTCCAGGCCTTCCTGTCCTCTACCATCTTCTGGAGTCCATTGAAGCTCACGCCTCCTGCTTCAGGGACTCCATCCAGCCACCTCATTCTCCGTCGTCCCCTTCTTCTCTTGCCCTCCATCTTTCCCAGCATCAGGCTCTTCTCCAGTGAGTCCTTCCTTCTCATTAGGTGCCCAAAGGACTTGAGTTTCAGCTTCAGGATCTGGCCTTCTCAAGAGCAGTCGGGGTTGATCTCCTCTAGGACTGACCAGTCTGATCACCTTGCAGTCCAGGGGACTCGCAGGAGTCTTCTCCAGCACCAGAGTTCAAAGGCCTCCATTCTTTGGCCTTTCTCAGCCTTTCTTACGGTCCAACTTTCACATCCATACATTGCAACTGGGAGAACCATGGCCTTGACTATACATACTGTTAGTGGCAGGGTGACATCTCTGCTTTTTAGTATGCTGTCTAGATTTGCCATGGCTTTCCTCCCCAGGAGCAAGCGTCTTTTCATTTCTTGGCTGCAGTCCCCATCTGCGGTGATCTTGGACCCAGGACGATAAAATCAGTCACTACCTCCATTTCTTCCCCATCTATTTGCCAGGAATTGAGAGGGCCGGATGCCAAGATCTTGGTTTTCTTAATGTGCAAATACAGTTAGTCCTCGATTTTCAACGGTTCAAAATTACAACGGCACCCCCCAAAAAAGTGACTTAGTTACTACCGTTTTTCACACTGAACAATCATGACAGAATCTCAAAAATTCAGCCGCTTGGCAACTGACTCATATTTATGACGGTTGCAGCATCCCGGAGGGGGGCATGTGATCCCCCTTATGGGACTTTTTGACGAGCAAAGTCAATTTGGAAGCCAGATTCACTTATCAACCGTATTAATGCTTAACAGCTGTGGCAAGAAAGGTCGTAAAATAGAGTAAAACGGACTTGACTGTCTTGCTTAGCAAAGGAAGTTTTGGGGTCAATTGTAGTCGTAAGTTGAGGATTACCTGTACATCAAACTACATGTTTGAATTTTGCCCAAGTATACAGTAATTAGTTGTTTTTTGACAAAAAGGTGGGGCTTCTGCAGTTCATTACAAGCTTCCTGCTGTTTCCTTTCCCCCACACTTCCATCCATCCATGCGTGGCAGGCAAATAATAGAACTTGGACAGACATTCCGTTCCAAAGCCCACTTTAATTGCATCCGTATCTCTTTGATGCAGTTAATAGTGATATTTACTGGAGCAAATTGGTTTGAGGCATTTGGAAAAGATGCATCAGATCAAAACTTAGAGCATATTTGTTGCATGCAAACAATCTGAGATGTGGTTTCAATCAGTCAATCAGAATAGAGCTGGAAGGGACCATGAAGGTCTTCTAGTCCAACCCCCTGCTCAAGCAGGAAACTTTATACCATGTCAGATAAGGGACTGTCCAGTCTCTTCATAAAAACCTGCAGTGATGGAGCATCTACAATTTCCGAAGGCAAGCAGTTCCACTGGTTAATTGCTCTCACTGTTAGGAAGTTTCTCCTTAATTCCAAATTGCTTCTCTCCTGGATTAGTTTCCATCCGTTGTTTCTTGTCTGTCCTTCTGGTGCTTTGGAAAATAGGTTGACCCCCCTCTTCTTTGTGGCAGCCCATTGAACACTGGAATACTGCTACCATGTCACTCCTACTCCTTTTTTCTAGACTGGCCGTACCCAGTTCCTGTAACTGTTCTTCATATGTTTTGGTCTCCAGGCCTTTAATCACCTTAGTTTTTCTCTTTTGCCCTTTTCCCAAAGTCTCAACGTCTTTTTTGTAATGTGACCAAAACTGGATGCAGTATTCCAGGTGTGGCCTTACTAAAGTTTCATAAAGCGGTACTAATACTTTACGTGATTTTGATTTGATGCTTTTGTTTATATACAACCAAGGATTATATTAGCTTTTTTGGCTGCTGCCGCACACGGCTGGCTCATGTTTAAGTGATCGTCCTATCCAGTTAAAAAGGATCTGATTGCAGGATTTGAAAAAGTTCTTTGTCTAGTCTAGATCCCTGACCACATCACTGGGTGTGATGGATACTTTTACTGCATTTAGTGCTAGCTCCTCTTCTGTCATGTAGCCTATCTGGCTGCCTGATATTTTTACTGAGTGCATCTAAATTGAATTGCATTCACATCTTTTTTCTTCTTATTAGTTAAATATATATTATGTTCCTCGAGATGCAGTTATGGAACAGGTTTTAAATTAACTCAATATTATTTTTTTTAAGGAATTGCTGGCTATGGAAAAACTTGAATCCTGGCAAACTCATCCTCACAAAAGGATGCTTTGACTGCCAATGCTTTTCAGTGCACGCGCTTCCTGCATATAGATGAATAAAACGTAGCTTAAGGCACAGTCAATATCTGGATAAAATTTTTAAGAAATCAAGTGTACCTTTTCTCTCCACTTATTTAATTACTTATTTATTTAATTACTTGGTTTTGATTGCAGTGACTGCTAATATTCCACTTCTCCCAAAAGTAATGTCGAAGGACAGGCTAGCAGGACCCATTGTCCCAGTAGCTGTGAAAATATTCAAGAAATCCATATCTTAAATCCGGGTGTCAAAATGATACTATACGATCTTCGTGCTGTTTTTAAAAGAACCATAATTGACAAATGTATGTATTATTGCTTGAAATGTTATTGTGGTAATGGTAAAACGCAGCCTAAAAATATTTCAAATAAATAAAATTACTGTTTATTTAAAAAAAAACTATTTGTTTTAAAGCCCCAGTTGTTTCAAAGGGATAACAGGCCACTTGGAATCTTTTCAATTTAAAATGTCTATCCTGAACTGCAGAGGTGCTTATGTTATTTGCAAAAACTCAAGGGCTGGGAAACGTTGCCGATTTTAAAATCAGCTTTTTTTCCAATAGGGCATTAGAAGAGCGACATCATGAAATGAACAAAGCCGTGTCACGTCCTTCTAGGAAAAATTCTTAATTGTAAATCATACTATGTATCAACAAGCAGTCTTAGCAGTTGGAAGGGACCTTGGAGGTCTTCTAGTCGAACCCCCTTGCTCAAGTGAGGTTGACAATTCTTATTATAGCAAACAAAATACAGAAAGGGCGGCCTTCGGGGGTCACCCAGAACCACGATTTCCTTAAACCACAGTTAGTCGCTGGCCCAGTTTGCACCCTACCCCAACCTGGCGCCCTTCAGATGCATTGCCATGGCAACACGCGACTGGAGGGAACCAGGTTGGGGAGGGCCCCCCCCCCTCAATCAGCGGGAGGCGAGCTCTGGTTTACAGGCTGGGGATGATGGGGCCGAGAACAGGGACCTCCAACAGTGGAGAAAAAGCTAGCCGAGGCCAGTTTCCAGCGGAACTTCCGGCGCGGGGGACGCCGTTTCCGCCCGGAATCTGCGCCAGCACTTGGTCCCTTCCGGTCGAGTCCGTCCGGGAGCGCTTCCGGTTCAGCCCAGCCCCGTTGGCAAGATTCGGGCGTGAAGAGCCGAGGAAGGACGCCGCCCGGGACAGGTGGGGAGGGGGACGCCGCCCCGGGGGGGGGGGAAGCAGGAGGACTCCCCCTTTTCTGGGGGATGCAGAGCTGGTTGCGGGGGGGCCTGCTCTGTTTTGGGGCGGGGGCGGCAGCAGGAACCGGTTCGCGGTGGGAGGGGAGCCGGGCGGTGGGCGACCGGGTGGGGGGGTGGATGGAAGAGTCGGGCCGGGGGGGGTGGGGTCAAAGGTCAAGGGGGTCCTCTGGGCGGCCGTGGGGGTGAAGTAGCTCCCAGGGATGTTGCATCAGAGCTGGGGAGGGGTCCTAAAGTGGAGGGGGGGAAGGGCAGGTGCAGACTTATGGGTCCAGCTCCCCCCCGGGGGGGCACAATATGGGCGGGGGGGGGAAACCTTCTGGGCTGCTCTTTTCAATTATTTATCATTTGGGCTGCTATTTTTAATTCTGTTCTCCCCCCCACACACCCTTAAGTCCTCGACTTACGACCACCGTTGAGCCCAGAATGTCTGTTGCAAAGAGAAACTTTTTTTTTAAGTGAGTTTTCTGGCCACCGTCGTTAAGCGAATCACCGCAGTTAGTCACGCGGTTGTTAGAAGTGAATCTGGCTCCCCCTCCCCCCCCCCGTTGACTTTGCTTGTCGCAAAAGGGGATCACGTGACCCACCGCGACTGTCATAAGTATGAATCACTAGCCAAGCGTCTGAATTTTGATCACGGGGCCCTGCAGGATGTTGCGACAGCCGTGTGAAAAACGATCCCAGCTCACTTTTTTTCAGTGCGGTTGTAACTTCGCATGCTCACGTAAGTCGAGGACTACCTGTGTATTTATTTATTTACCATATGGCATGCAGGTAGTCCTCAGCTCACAATGGTTCGTTTAGTGACTGTTCAGTGTTACAACATCACTGGGGGGGGGGAAAGGGACTTCGGACCCTTTTTCACACTTGCGAGCGTTGTAACATCCCCACAGTCCCGTGATCCAAATAACGACACTTGGCCACTGGTTCATATTTATGACAGTTGCGGTGTCCCCCGGGGCCATGTGATCCCCTTTGCAACCTTGGTTATAAGCCATATGGCAGGGGTCTTCAAACTTGGCTCTTTTATGACTTGTGGACTTCAACTCCCAGAATTCCTCAGCGTGCACGCTGGCTGAGGAGTTATGGGAGTTGAATTCCACAAGTCATAAAAGGGCCAGATTTGAAGACCCCTGAGATAGATGGTTAAATAGAAGTAGATAGAAAAGAAATAGATGGATAGGTAGATGGAGATAGAATCATCTTAGAATCAGAGAATATTAGAATCACCTTAGAATCACCTTAGAATCTTAGAATCAGAGAATATTAGAATCACCTTAGAATCAGAGAATATTAGAATTACCTTAGAATCATCTTAGAATCATAGAATATTAGAATCATCTTAGAATACCCTTAGAATCTTAGAATCAGAGAATCTTAGAATCATCTTAGAATTTTAGATTCACCTTAGAATCATCTTAGAATCACCTTAGAATCTTAGAATCACCTTAGAATCATCTTAGAATCAGAGAATATTAGAATCACCTTAGAATCATCTTAGAATAAGAGAATATTAGAATCATCTTAGAATCATCTTAGAATCAGAGAATCTTAGAATCACCTTAGAATCTTAGAATCAGAATCTTAGAATTTTAGAATCATCTTAGAATTATCTTAGAATCACCTTAGAATCTTAGAATCAGAATATTAGAATCACCTTAGAATCATCTTAGAATCAGAGAATATTAGAATCACCTTAGAATCTTAGAATCAGAGAATCTTAGAATCACCTTAGAATCATCTTAGAATCACCTTAGAATCTTAGAATCAGAATATTAGAATCACCTTAGAATCATCTTAGAATCAGAGAATATTAGAATCACCTTAGAATCACCTTAGAATCTTAGAATCAGAGAATATTAGAATCACCTTAGAATCAGAGAATATTAGAATTACCTTAGAATCATCTTAGAATCATAGAATATTAGAATCATCTTAGAATACCCTTAGAATCTTAGAATCAGAGAATCTTAGAATCATCTTAGAATTTTAGAATCACCTTAGAATCTTAGAATCAGAGAATCTTAAAGTCACCTTAGAATCACCTTAGTATGTATGTATGTATTTATTTATTTATTTATTTATTTATTTATGGGACTTATATACCGCTTTAAGTGCGAGCACTCTCTAAGCGGTGTACACCAGTAAGCAATGTATATATATATTTACATTGCCCCCAACAATCTGGGTCCTCATTTTACCTACCCCGGAAGGATGGAATGCTGAGTCAACCTTGAGCCGGTGAGATTTGAACCGCTGACCTGCTGAACACAGTCAGCTAAAGTGGCCTGCAGTACTGCACTCTAACTGCTGCGCCACCTCGGCTCATCATTTTAGAATCATCATAATCTTATAATTTTAGAATCTTAGAATTACGGAATCATGCAGCCATAGAACGGTAGGGCTGAAAGAGTCCTTGGAGGTCTTCTAGTCCAGCCCCCTGCTCAAGACAGGGTACCTTGAGGGGTCCTTGGTGACCTCTGAGCTTGCTTGTTTTCTCCCAAACATTTCATTACTCAAACTAGGTAACCTCATGGATGATGTTACTCTAGTTTGGGTAATGAAATGGCTGCGAGAAAACAAGCATAATCGGTGGGCACCAAGGACCCCTCATGTCAACCCTGAGCTACAAATAATTCTCCTTTATTAGCAACAGGAAACCTTATTCCATTCCAGACAAATGGCTGTCCAGTCTCTTCTTGAGAACCTCCAATGATGGAGCACCCACAACTTCTTGTGGCAAGTCGTTCCACTGGTTAATTGTTCTCCCTGTCAGGAAGTTTCTCCTTAGTACTAGGATGCTTCTCTCCTTGGTCAGTTTCCATCCGTTGCTTCTTGTCCTGCCCTCTGGTGCCCTAAAGCAGGGATTCCCAGCTGGGGGTGCGAGACAATATTCCAGGGAATGTGAAAACTTGGGTTTTCAAAATTATAGTGTGTATGCATAATTTGTGGCCATTATTTCAAATTTTTATAAGAGGTGCAAGAATATATCAGAAGCTTTTAGGGCAGCGGTTCTCAACCTATGGGTCGCGACCCCATTTGGGGTCGAACGACCATTTTACGGGGGTCGTGAAACAATGCGATCCGCCATTTTCCCCCCTCAGGGCGCGGCGCTGCCCATGCGCGCCGCACATGGGGGCGGCACGTCCGTGTGACAGGGGTCGCCGTCACACGAAGATTGAGAACCGCTGTTTTAGGGGTATAGAAAATGTTGGGAGCCACTGCCCTAAAGAATAAGTCAATCCCCTCTTCTTTCTGTGGTGTTGTTCTAGAGCAAGGGTCTTCAAACTGGCCCTTTTATGACTTGTGGACTTCAACTCCCAGAATTCCTCAGCGTGCACGCTGGCTGAGGAGTTATGGGAGTTGAATTCCACAAGTCATAAAAGGGCCAGATTTGAAGACCCCTGAGATAGATGGTTAAATAGAAGTAGATAGAAAAGAAATAGATGGATAGGTAGATGGAGATAGATAGATAGATAGATAGATAGATAGATAGATAGATAGATAGATAGATAGATAGATAGATAGATAGATAGATGGATGGATGGATGGATGGACGGACAGGGGGAGAGAGAGAGAGAGAGAAAGAAAGAAAAAAGAAAGAAAGAAAGAAAGAAAGAAAGAAAGAAAGAAAGAAAGAAAGAAAGAAAGAAAGAAAGAGAAAGAAAGATGGATAAAAGAGAGAGGGAGTTAATAGATAGATAGTGTGATAGACGAGAGGATAGGTGGATGGATGGATGTGATGGCGCTCTCACCAAAGGCGAGGTGAGAGAATAAATAGCTAAGATTAAGCACGCTGGCTGAGGAATTCTGGGAGTTGAAGTCCATAAATCATAAAAGGGCCAAGTTTGAAGACCCCTGTGATATGGTCATAAGTGTGAAAAACAGTCATATATCACATTTTTTTCCAATGCCGTAACTTTGAACCGTTACTAAACCAGCTTTTGTAAGTCGAGGAATACTTCTATGGGATCCAGCGTCTGACAAGACCCAGAATCAAATTCAGTTGCCCTATAAATTCATTAAATAAGCAGATGTGGCTGGATGGCGGCAGAGGACATTATGCAAGGCCTTGCCGTGCCCCACGGCCATTTACATCAGTGGTGTGTGCCAAGAACATTGTGCAAAGGACAGGAATGGTGGTGGTTGGCCTCCGGGGCAACCGGCCCAGGTTGCATAAACCCGGGGTGTGACTGTACTTTGTGATATTGGTTTGATATGACGTTGGTTGTTTCGTTTTCTCTTTATTTCTATTACTCTGCCTAGAATCAGACATGGTGACTTTCAGTGGCTTTCTCATTTCCTTGCGCTGTTCACAGGATTGCAGATAGTCCTTGACCTACGACTGCAATGGAGCCTAAAATTTCTGTTCCTAGGTGAGACATTTCTTCAGTGAGTGTGCCCCATTTTATGATCTTTCTTGCCATGGTTCTTAAGCGCATCCCCGCAGCTGTGCAGATAATAATACAGTTGTTAAGTGAATTGAATCGGAATAGAGCTGGAAGGGACCTTGGAGGTCTTCTAGTCCAACCCACAGCTCCAGCAGGAGAACCTATACCAGGGGTAGGCAATCTTGGCTCTTTTATGACTCGTGGACTTCAACTCCCAGAATTCCTGAGCCAGCCATGCTGAGGGGAAAGGGAGAGGTTTCCAAGCTGAGCCATGCTGGCTCAGGAATTCTGGGAATTGAAGTCCACAAGTCATGAAGGGGCCACAGTTCCCCCATGCTGGCTGAGGAATTCTGGGAGTTGAAGTCCACGAGTCATGAAGGGGCCAAAGTTTCCCTCATGCTGGCTCAAGAATTCTGGGAGTTGAAGTCCATGAGTCGTGAAGGGGCCATAGTTCCCCCACGCTGACTCAGGAATTCTGGGAGTTGAAGTCCGCGAGTCATGAAGGGGCCATAGTTCCCCCACGCTGGCTGAGGAATTCTGGGAGTTGAAGTCCACGAGTCCATCCCTTCTTAAAAGCCTTCAGTGATGGAGCACCCACAACTTCTGGTGGCAAGCAGTTCCACTAGTTAATTGTCCTCACTGTTAGGAAGTTTCTCCTTAGTTCCAGGTTGCTTCTTTCCTTGATTAGTTTCCATCCGTTGTTTCTTGTCCCGTCTTCAGCAGCTTTGGAAAATAGGTTGACACCCCTCCCCTTTGTGGCAGCCCCTCAAATACTAGAATATTGCTATCATGTCACCCTTAGCCCTTCTTTTCTCCGGCTTCCCCATTGCTTGTTAGAAACTCACAAAAGGGGATCACATGACCCTTGGATACTGCAACTGTCCTAAATACTGTAATGAATCAATTGCCAAGCATCTGAATTTTAATCATATGATCCTGGGCATGCTGCAATGGTCATAAGTGTGAAAAATGGTCTTATGTCACTTGTTTCATGCCCTTGCAACTTTGAACAGTCACTAAATCAGGGGTAGGCAACCTTGGCTCTTTTATGACTCGTGGACTTCAACTCCCAGAATTCCTGAGCCAGCATGGGGAAACTATGGCCCCTTCATGACTTACGGATTGCAACTCCCAGAATTCCTCAGCCAGCATGGGGGATCTATGGCCCCTTCATGACTCTTGGACTTCAACTCCCAGAATTCCTAAGCCAGCATGGGGGAACTGTGGCCCCTTCGTGACTGGTGGACTTCAACTCCCAGAATTCCTCAGGCAGAATGGGGGAACTATGGTCCCTTCATGACTCGTGGACTTCAACTCCCAGAATTCCTCAGCCAGCATGGGGGAACTATGGTCCCTTCATGACTCGTGGACTTCAACTCCCAGAATTCCTCAGCCAGCATGGCTCAGCTTGGAAACCTCTCCCTTTCCCCTCAGCATTGCTGACTCAGGAATTCTGGGAGTTGAAGTCCACGAATCATGAGGGGGCCATAGTTTCCCCATGCTGGCTCAGGAATTGAAGTCCACCAGTCATAAAAGAGCCCAGGTTGCCCACCCCTGCACTAAATGAACTGTTGTCAATCAAGTATTAGCTGTCCTAACGTAACACCTGCAGAAATTCACTTAACAACTGTGGCAAGACAAGTTGTAAAATGGGGCAAAACTCACTTAACAGCTGCTTTGCTTAGCCACGGAAATGTTGGCCTCTGGTGTGGATCGTAAGCCAAGGGCTACCTGTAGTGTAATCTGGACCCCAGTGTGGAAAACCACACAGGTACGATGACCTCCCCAAAAGCTGAAGGTGCAGCTGTTAAAAGTATCCTCCAAAGGTTGTGGCATTCGTTAATATTAGTTATATTAGTCACGATGTTGGTTATATTAGTCATAAATGTCTGTAGCTGGTCCAATGAAAAAATGTACAAAAGAGATGGTTTTCATCCATCCAAGAAAGGGACTGAGTTATTCAGCTATAAATTCACAGATTTTCTGGAGAAATATTTAAACCAAACAACGGGGACAGTGAGTTAATTGATACAGAACATCCCTGTCCCCGGCAGTCTAAAAATTACAGGGTTAGCAGTGCATGTAACATAGATGTGTGTCTGTGGTCAAGAATATCAACCTTGCTATCAAGCAAAATCAAGCTTTTCATAGCGAGTGCCACACAAAGTGCACTAACCAAATAGGTGGTAAGAAAATAGGGGAACTCCGGCACCACACTGGTTATGTAGAAAGTAAACACGGGGTGAGCCAATAAAGGACTCAAATGTCTATACACCAATGCACAGAGTATGAACAGCAAACAGGGTGAGCTAGAAATTCAGGTTAACGAGGGCAGATATGATATTGTTGCCATTACGCAAACACGGTGGGATGGAATACCCAGCTAGAGGGATTTAAATTATCTAAAAGAGACAGACTAAAAGAGGAGGCGGAGTTGCTCTGTATGTAAGAAATAACTACATCTCTACAGAAATAGAGCACAACAATGATGAAAACTGTCTTGAATGCATTTGGGTCAATATAAAAGTGTGTGGGGGGGAAATGACATTGCCATAGGTGTATACCATAAGCCACCCAACCCAATAGATGAACTTTTTGCTAGTCACCTAACTAAAGTATGTAGAAAACACATCACAATAGTCATGGGGGACTTTAATTACCCTGGCATCAACTGGGAGACAACAATCATATTTTGCTAATGATTAATTGAATGTTAATTGAATGTAAAAAAGTTGGTTGGTTCATTATCTTTTATCCTGGTCCCATCGGGTTTTTGTTTTTTGTTGTTGCAGCTGCTGGGACAATAGTCAAAAGTGCCCTTTCAACATTGCGGTGGTTCTGACATACCAAGTGTGGGCGTCATTGTGTATAGCGCAGCCATGGGCGTTGTGAACTCTGACCGTTGGCAAAGTCGATAGACTTGCATAAGCTCTCCTCCCCAAGCCCTTAAGTGTGGCAGTCATTTCAGTGTGTGTGTCTGTGTGTGTGTGTGTGCAGGCGAGAAAAACGTGGGATCTGGGTCCACAAAGGTGCTTTTTCAAGAGGCAACTGGAGTGTCTTGTTTTGTTTTTTTCTTTGAAGACGTTTCGCTTCTCGTCCCAGAAGCTTCTTCAGCTCTGATTGGAGGGTGGGGAAATGGAAGGATTTATACTCCTTGCAGACAGCCGGTCCTTTGCCTCCTTTTAGAGAGTCGTTGAGGCCACTTGGAGGTTTACCTGTGTCCTCAAGATCACTTGAGTGGTGCAAATGGGTGTGGAGCTTCCTTGGCTACAGGATGTTATCTGCCCTGGGTCCCTTCCCGGTTGAAGACAGGCACACAGGCTGTTGGGGATGAGTTTGTGCTGTCTGCATCTCTAACTGATGGAGCACCCACAACTTCTGGAGGCAACTTAGAATCATCTTAGAATCACCCTAGAATCTTATAATCTCAGAATTTTAGAATCCTAGAATCGCCTTAGTATCATTTTAGAATCATCTTAGAATCAGAGAATCTTAGAATCACCTTAGAATCTTAGAATCACCTTAGAATCAGAGAGTATTAGAATTACCTTAGAATCATCTTAGAATCAGAGAAGAATCACCTTAGAATCTTAGAATCAGAATCTTAGAATTTTAGAATCACCTTAGAATCATCTTAGAATCACCTTAGAATCAGAATATTAGAATCACCTTAGAATCAGAATATTAGAATCACCTTAGAATCATCTTAGAATCAGAGAATATTAGAATCACCTTAGAATCACCTTAGAATCTTAGAATCACCTTAGAATCAGAGAATATTAGAATCACCTTAGAATCAGAGAATATTAGAATCACCTTAGAATCTTAGAGTCACCTTAGAATCACCTTAGTATCACCTTAGTATGTATGTATGTATGTATGTATTTATTTATTTATTTATGAGACTTATATACGCTTTAAGTGCAAGCACTCTCTAAGCAGTGTATACCAGTAAGCAATGTATATATATATTTACATTGCCCCCAACAATCTGGGTCCTCATTTTACCTACCCCGGAAGGATGGAAGGCTGAGTCAACCTTGAGCCGGTGAGATTTGAACCGCTGACCTGCTGAACACAGTCAGCTAAAGTGGCCTGCAGTACTGCACTCTAACTGCTGCGCCACCTCGGCTCATCATTTTAGAATCATCATAATCTTATAATTTTAGAATCTTAGAATTACGGAATCATGCAGCCATAGAACGGTAGGGCTGAAAGAGTCCTTGGAGGTCTTCTAGTCCAGCCCCCTGCTCAAGACAGGGTACCTTGAGGGGTCCTTGGTGACCTCTGAGCTTGCTTGTTTTCTCCCAGACATTTCATTACTCAAACTAGGTAACCTCATGGATGATGTTACTCTAGTTTGGGTAATGAAATGGCTGCGAGAAAACAAGCATAATCGGTGGGCACCAAGGACCCCTCATGTCAACCCTGAGCTACAAATAATTCTCCTTTATTAGCAACAGGAGACCTTATTCCGTTCCAGACAAATGGCTGTCCAGTCTCTTCTTGAGAACCTCCAATGATGGAGCACTCACAACTTCTTGTGGCAAGTCGTTCCACTGGTTAATTGTTCTCCCTGTCAAGAAGTTTCCTCTTACTACTAGGATGCTTCTCTCCTTGGTCAGTTTCCATCCGTTGCTTCTTGTCCTGCCCTCTAGTGCCCTAAAGCAGGGGTTCCCAGCTGGGGGTGTGAGACAATATTCCAGGGAGTGTGAAAACTTGGGTTTTCAAAATTATAGTGTGTATGCATAATTTGTGGCCATTATTTCAAACTTTTATAAGAGGTGCGAGAATATATCAGAAGCTTTTAGGGCAGCGGTTCTCAACCTATGGGTCGCGACCCCATTTGGGGTCGAACAACCATTTTACGGGGGTCGTGAAACAATGCGATCCGCCATTTTTCCCCCTCGGGGCGGCGCTGCGCATGCGCGCCGCGCATGGGGGCGGCGCATCCGTGTGACAGGGGTCGCCGTCACACGAAGATTGAGAACCGCTGTTTTAGGGGTATAGAAAATGTTGGGAGCCACTGCCCTAAAGAATAAGTCAATCCCCTCTTCTTTCTGTGGTGTTGTTCTAGAGCAAGGGTCTTCAAACTGGCCCTTTTATGACTTGTGGACTTCAACTCCCAGAATTCCTCAGCCAGGCACACTAGCTGAGGAATTCTGGGAATTGAAGTCTGCACATCATGAAGGGGCCATAGTTCCCCCACGTTGGCTGAGGAATTCTGGGAGTTGAAGTCCGCACGTCATGAAGGGGCCATAGTTCCCCCATGCTGGCTGAGGAATTCTGGGAGTTGAAGTCCCCCAGTCATGAAGGGACCATAGTTCCCCCATGCTGGCTGAGGAATTCTGGGAGTTGAAGTCCCCCAGTCATGAAGGGACCATAGTTCCCCCATGCTGGCTCAGGAATTCTGGGAGTTGAAGTCCACGAGTCATGAAGGGGCCATAGTTCCCGCACGCTGGCTCAGGAATTCTGGGAGTTGAAGTCCGCAAGTCATGAAGGGGCCACAGTTCCCCCATGCTGGCTGAGGAATTCTGGGAGTTGAAGTCCCATGCCATGTTCCCCCATGCTGGCTCAGGAATTCTGGAGTTGAAGTCCACGAGTCATGAAGGGGCCATAGTTCCCGCACGCTGGCTCAGGAATTCTGGGAGTTGAAGTCCGCAAGTCATGAAGGGGCCACAGTTCCCCCCCCATGCTGGCTGAGGAATTCTGGGAGTTGAAGTCCGCAAGTCATGAAGGGGCCACAGTTCCCCCCCATGCTGGCTGAGGAATTCTGGGAGTTGAAGTCCCCCAGTCATGAAGGGGCCATAGTTCCCCCATGCTGGTTGATGAATTCTGGGAGTTGAAGTCCGCAAGTCATGAAGGGGCCACAGTTCCCCCCCCCCCCATGCTGGCTGAGGAATTCTGGAAGTTGAAGTCCGCAAGACCTCTGTTCTAGAGCAAGGGTGTCCAACCTCAGCAACGTCAAGACTTGTGGATGTCAACTCCCAGAATTCTCCCCCTGGGAGTTGAAGTCAGGAAGTCTTGAAGCTGCCGAGGTTGCCCATCAGGAAGGAGTTTCTTTCTGATCTGAACACTCTCACATTGCTTTTTTCTTGTGCATTGGGGAAATCCTCTGTCAACAAATCATATAATCCAAGAACTGGGTGTTGAGTTTGTACAAAGGGTGTGTATCATTGAAACCACAGCAAAAGAAAAGATTTCACAAAATTGGCACTCGCTCACAGAACATGACAGAGCATGTGATTCCTCGGACAGCAGGCTCTGATCTTGTTTTCTGGGCTGGAACCGAAAGTCTCCGGGGCCTCTCCTTTTCACAGGATATGCATGTTTGGGACCTGCCTGTCCTGGCCTGGACAACTTCCTGACAGGCATTTCCTTCCCTCCCAATTTACACGTCAGATTAAGAATTTTCCCTCCAAGTACCCTCTCTTTACAAGAGAGTAGAAAATAAATAGAATAGAATAGAATAGAATAGAGAAAATGAATAGAAAATAGAATAAAAATAAGAATAAGAATAGAATAGAATAGAATAGGAGAAAGAATAGAATAGGGAAAATGAATAGAATAGAGAAAATGAATAGAAAATAGAATTAGAATAGAATAGAATAGAATAGAATAGAATAGAATAGAATAGAATAGGAGAAAGAATAGAATAGGGAAAATGAATAGAATAGAGAAAATGAATAGAGAATAGAATAGAATAGAATAGAATAGAATAGAATAGAATAGAATAGAATAGAATAGAATAGAGAAAATGAATAGAATAGAGAAAATAGAATAGAATAGAATAGAGAAAATGAATAGAATAGAGAAAGAATAGAATAGAATAGGGAAAATGAATAGAATAGAGAAAGAATAGAATAGGGAAAATGAATAGAAAATAGAATAGAATAAGAATAGAATAGAATAGAGAAAATGAATAGAATAGAGAAAGAATAGAATAGAGTAGAATAGAATAGAGAAAAGGAACAGAAGAAAGAAAGAATAGAATAGAATAACAAATAGAAATAGAATAGAATAGAATAGAATATGGAATGAAATAATAATAGGATAGGATAGCATAGCATAGCATAGGATAGGGCAGTAATGGCGAACCTTTTAGAGACCTGAGCGCCCAAACTGCAACCCAAAACCCACTTATATATCATAGGTGCCGGATGGATGTGGCCCAATGGGTGAGCATGGCTTCCCGCGAGAAGTTGAAATTGATTGATTGAACCTTTTTTTTTTTTTTTTTTTGCACACGGCGGAGGCCTAAAGCGAAAAGGTTTTATAAAACCCAGCTGAAGGCCTAGGACTGGGGCGATGGCGTGCGTGCCCACAGAGAGGGCTCTGATTGCCGCCTCTGGCACCCGTGCCATAGGTTCGCCACCACGGGAATAGAATAAATGAATAGAATAGAGAAAGAATAGAATAGAGAATAGAATAGAAGAATGGAATGGAATGGACAGGTCCTCCTGCTTGAGCAGGGGGGGGGGCTAGACTAGAAGACCTCCCAGGTCCCTTCCAGCCCTATTCTATTCAAAACAGTCCCTAAACGAATCTTTGCAAGTCAAGGACCGCCCGCAAACTTTTGCCCAGGCTTTTACAGTGCTGAAATAAGCAGCGGTCCTGCCCGCAGTTTCAAACATGGTTGCTGGGTTGGGAGAGAAAACAACAACAACTCAGTAGTATTAGCCGTGTCCAATATTGCCTGGACAGCTGGTTTTTCCTGTGACTCCAGCAGGGACAAACAATTTGTGCGTAAGAGAGCCACACAAATCCCTCCCTCCCTCCTCGCCCCACTTCTCCTGACCGACGGACGTGCCAGCGTGAGCCTTCTGCTCCGTTGGCATTCAGCCGGACAGCCGGGCACTGCCCCCCCCCCCGTTTTCCTTTTCTTTCACCAGTTCCCTTAAAACGCCTGCTTGGATCCTCCAGGTGTCTCCAGCCGATCTCCCAGAGGCGATTGCCGGGATGGATCCCCAGATCTCGGCCAGATTAAACTCCAGGAAGAGGAGGAAAGAAGGAGCGGGTTCCAACGGGGCCGCCCAGACAGACGGCATCCCGTTGAAAGTGCCCCGCAACTGTATAGTAAGTGGAGAAGGGCTGGGTCCACAGGGGTAGGCAGCCTTGGCTCTTTGATGACTGGTGGACTTCAACTCCCAGAATTCCTGAGCCAGCCTGGCTCAGCTTGGAAATGTCTCCCTTTCCCCTCAGCGTGCCTGGCTGAAGAATTCTGGGAGTTGAAGTCCGCAAGTCATGAAGGGGCCATAGTTTCCCCATGCTGGCTCAGGAATTCTGGGAGTTGAAGTCCACGAGTCATGAAGGGGCCATAGTTCCCCCATGCTGGCTGAGGAATTCTGGGAGTTGAAGTCCACGAGTCATGAGGAGGCCATAGTTCCCCCATGCTGGCTCAGGAATTCTGGGAGTTGAAGTCCACGAGTCATGAAGGGGCCATAGTTCCCCATGCTGGCTGAGGAATTCTGGGAGTTGAAGTCCATGAGTCATCAAGGGGGCCATAGTTCCCTCATGCTGGCTCAGGAATTCTGGGAGTTGAAGTCCACGAGTCATAAAAGAGCCAAGGTGGCCTACCCCTGGGCTGGGAGAAGGGATGGTGGGTGGGCTTCAATTCCCCAAAGGCCTAGAAAGTGGGTGGGCTTCCATACCCAGAATTCTCCAGCCAGCATGGCTGACTGGGGGATTCTGGGAGTTGAAGTCCAGCCACTTTCAAGAGGCTGAGGTTGAAAGACACTTCTCTAGGATGACTCAATCGCTGTTTTTCTCCTGGGAAAAAAATCACATTTGTTAACTGCAGTCTGTTTTTTCCGTCAGATTCTGATCTTACAGTCATCTCAGTTGACACAAGTGACCCATTTTGTTTTGTTTTGTTTCTTTTTTATTTTTATTATTTTTTTTATTTTACTTATTTTTTGTTTTGTTTTATTTTGCTTGTTTTTCATGTTGCTTTTTATTTCATTTTAGCTTTTATTTATTATTTTTGCTTTACTTTGCTTTATTTTAATTTCTTTTTCTTTTACATTTTTTATTTTACTTTATTTTGCTTATTTTTTTCCTTTTATTTTTTATTTCATTTTAACTTTTTTGTTTTATTTTGCTTTACTTTATTTTAATTTCTTTTTATTTTACTTATTTTTTATTTTCCTTTAGTTTGCTTATTTTTTTATTTCATTTTAACTTCTATTTCATTTTAACTTTCATTTATTATTTTTATTTTACTTCACTTTATCTATTTTAATTTCTTTTTATTTTACTTGTTTTTATTTCATTTCTATTTATTTTACTATATTACTATGCGGGCTGGAGAATTCTGGGAGTTGAAGTCCACACGTCTTAAACTTGGCAAGCTTCGGAAACATTGCTATAAAATAGAGTTCTCCAGGGCTAATCCTCACATTAACATATGACAAAGAATAATAATAAAGTTGGAAGGGACCTTGGAGGTCATCTAGTCCAGCCCCCTGCTACAATAATATGCTACAATAATTATATAATTCCTGCTCTGATGCCTCTTTTCCTAACCCTCATAAACATTGAATAAACATCTTTTTCTGATTTTTATTTTTTTAAACCCAGGGATTGCGAGAGCCGGCTCCATTTTCCGATGAGCTGGAAGTGGACTACAGCAAGCCCTACACACGAGTCACGTTTGAAGAGGCAACGAGAGGAACGCCCTGTAAGTGTTTTTTTTTTTATTTTGTATTATTATTATTATTATTATTATTATTATTATGGATCATCGCACAGTCAGCCAGATGTTCAGACTGGGTTTGGCATTTTGTCTACCTATCGAGTCCTTACCCAGGACCTGGGATAGGCAGATGTGGATGTTTGATGGTATTACAGGTATCGTCGCAGGATGGAAGCAGTTCCTAGTAAGGCCGCCTTTTGCAATTGACTAATAGCGAATTTGTCAATGCCAATGGTGTTCAAGTGGTGCTCCAGTTGTTTTGGAATTGCACCCAAGGCGCCTATGACTATTGATACTGTTGTTGTTGTTGTTGTTGTTATTATTAAGCTGGAAGAGACCTTGGAGGTCATGTAGTCCAACCCCCTGCTCGGGCAGGAAATCCTATACCATTTCGGACAAATGGCTGTCCAGTCGCTTCTTAAAAACCTCCAATGTTGGAGCATTCACCACTTCTGGAGGCAGGTGGTTCCACTGCTTAATTGTCCTCACTGTCAGGAAATTTATCCTTAATTCTAGCTTGCTTCTCTCCTTGAGTAGAAGTTGGACTTGTTAATATTTAATACCCTAAGCCAGTTGGACATTGATGTTTGAGAGAGTTGGAAGGGACCTTGGAGGTAGTAGTAGTAGTAGTAGTAGTAGTAGTAGTAGTAGTAGTAGTAGTAGTGATAATAATAATAATAATAATAATAATAATAATAATAATAATAATAATAGACTCTCTGCCACATGATTGGATAATAAAGTGCCTAGAAATAACAGGAGTCAGTAGAAACATCAGAAAATTTGTGCAAAGATCGATGGCACAATGGAAGACACAGTTGCAGATCAATGGTGAGAGGCTGGGAGAGGTTAATATCAAGAGAGGAATATTTCAAGGAGATTCATTATCACCATTACTATTTGTTATTGCACTGTTTCCTCTGTCAACAATACTGAATAACTCAGGACATGGCTATCAAACATCAAAAACATCTGCCAGACTATCCCACCTCCTTTACATGGATGATCTGAAGCTGTATGGAAAAACATCATCTGAAATAGAATCGCTGCTCAACACTGTCCGTATATATAGCCAAGATATTGTAATGGAGTTTGGCTTGGACAAATGTGCCACACTTACTATCAAACAAGGAAAAATAGTGAAAACTGAAGGAATCAAGATGCCCACGAAAATAACATTAAGAGTCTGGATGAGGAAGAGTACTACAAATACTTGGGTATCCTTCAAGCTGACAACATCAAGCACACTGAAGTCAAGAAAAAGATTAGAGGTGAATACATCAAGAGAGTGAAGAAGATCTTAAAATCCAAACTCAATGGAGGAAATACCATAAAGGCAATCAACACCTGGGCAATCCCAGTCATTAGGTACACAGCTGGAATAGTGGACTGGACTCAAGCAGAACTAAAAGCAATGGATAGGCAGACCAGAAAAATAATGACAATGAATCATGCCCTTCATCCACGCAGTGACATTGATAGACTTTATCTACCAAGGCAAATAGGTGGGCGTGGAATGCTACAAGTACATCAGATGGTTGAAGAAGAAAAAATGGCTTTGGAAGAATATCTGAAGAACAATGATGAAGATGCACTGAAATTAGTATATCAGGAAGGCTTACTAACTACTGGAGAGACCAAACTGGCCTACAAGAAAGACCAAATGAAGAACAGAATAGAGGCATGGGAAGACAAAGCACTACATGGCCAATACATTAAAAAAATAGCTGGGAAAGCAGATAATAATAAAACCTGGCAATGGCTAAGAGCAGGAAAATTGAAGAAAGAGACCGAGGGACTAATTCTGGCTGCACAAGACCAAGCCTTAAGGACAAATGCATACAAAGTCAAAATTGAGAAGACAGCAACAGACAGTAAGTGCCGCCTATGCAAAGAAGCTGAAGAAACAGTGGACCACTTGGTAAGCTGTTGCAAGAAGATTGCACAGACTGATTACAAGCAGCGGCATGACAAAGTAGCAACAATGGTGCATTGGAAGATCTGCAAAAAATATCATTTGCCTGTAAGCAAAAACTGGTGGGATCATAAAATAGAGAAAGTCATAGAAAATGATAAAATAAAACTGCTCTGGGACTTCAGAATTCAAACAGACAAGCACCTGCAACATAACACCCCAGACTTAACAATTGTCGATAAGAAAGACAAAAAAGTCTGGATAGTGGACGTGGCAGTGCCTGGAGATAGCAGAATAGAAGAGAAAGAACTGGAGAAGATAACAAAATACAAAGACCTACAAATAGAAATAGAAAGACTGTGGCAAAAGCAAGCAAGGGTAGTACCAATAGTAATAGGCTCCTTGGGTGCAATCCCAAAACAACTGGAGCACCACTTGAACACCTTGGCATTGACAAATTCGCTATTAGTCAATTGCAAAAGGCGGCCTTACTAGGAACTGCTTCCATCCTGCGACGATACCTGTAATACCATCAAACATCCACATCTGCCTATCCCAGGTCCTGGGTAAGGACTCGATAGGTAGACAAAATGCCAAATCCAGTCTGAACATCTGGCTGACTGTGCGATGATCCATAATAATAATAATAATAATAGAGTTGGAAGGCACCTTGGAGGTCATCTAGTCCAACCTCCCTGTTCAGGCAGGAAACCCTATATCGTTTCAGACAAATGGCTGTCCAGTCTCTTCTTGAACACTTCCAGTGTTGGAGCATTCACAGGTTCTGGAGGCAGGTTGTTTCACTGGTTAATTGTTCTCACTGTCAGGAAGTTTCTCCTTAGTTCTAGGTTGCTTCTCTCCTTGATGAGTTTCCATCCGTTGTTTCTTGTCCTGCCTTCAGGGGCTTTGGAGAATAGCTTGACTCCCTCTTCTTTGGGGCAGCCCCTGAGATACTGGAAGGCTGCTATCATGTCCCCCCTCGTCCTTCTCTTCGTTAAACTAGACATACCCAATTCAGCAACCATTCCTTATATGTTTTAGCCTCCAGTCCCCTGATCATCTTTGTTGCTCTTCTCTGTACTCTTTCTAGAGTCTCAACATCTTTTTTACATCGTGGTGACCAAAACTGGACGCAGTATTCCAAGTGTGGCCTTACCAAGGCCTTGTAAAGTGGTATTCATAATTTTATCTGTAAGCCCAAAATCATCAATTCTTGTTGTGCAGGGAGGTCCTCGACTTAACGACGCTGACCAAAGCGAATTACGACCGTTTTTCACCCCGACCGTTGCAGCACGTTCAAAACTTTGACACGCTTGGCAACCGATTCACATTTCTCACCGTCTGTTTGCCCCCTTTTACGACCTTCCTGGCCACGGTCGTTAAACGCATCACTGCAGCGGTTGAGTTAGTAACACGGTTGTTAAGCGGATCTGGCTTCCCCCATGGACTTGGCTTGTCAGACAGTCGCAAAAGGGGATCACCTGACCCCCCCCCCCCCAGGACACGGCGGCCATTGTAAATACGAGTCGGTTGCCAAGCGTCCGACTTTTGATCACATGACCACGACGGTCGCAAGTGTGAAAAAAAGCGTCCTAGGTCACATCTTTCGGCGCCGTCGTAAGTTGGAACGGTCGCTAAACGAAAGGTTGCAAGTCCGATGGCATCCGCTTAACGACTCCAGCGGCCGCTTAACAACCTGAAAAAAAAGATGGCGTCAGTCAGGTTGGTTACCTTACAAGCGTCCTAACTTAACGACCTAACGGGCAGCATCCATTACGGTCGTAAGCTGAGGACCGCCTGTGTGCCAGCCGAATGCTCTTCTAACCTACGTCAACCTTTGCAAACGGAGAAGGGGCGTTGTAGTCGAGATTCAAAAGCCTTTCGTTTTTGGCCGCTGTTGGAGCAACTTTCTGGCAGCTGAGAGTTGAGGAGGCAGGGAAAGGAACTCCAGGTCAGCAGAGAGGAAATGTCAGGATCACAACTAGGTTAGTTAGTTGTGCAGCCCGATCTCCCGAGATTTAAAACGGATTTTTCTAGCACTGATGATGTTCCCTAGTTGGGTCATGAAATGTCTGCAAGAAAACCACCCAGCTCAGAGAGCACCCAGGACCCCACAGTTCTCCTCCTCCTCCTCCTCTCCGCAAATCTCACTCCTTTCTAGCACTGATGATGTTACCTAGTTAGGGTAATGAAACGTCTGCAAGAAAACCACCAAGTTCAGAGAGCACCAAGGACCCCACAATCCTTTCTTTTTTTCTTTCTTTCTTTCTCTCTCTCTCTCTCTCTCTCTCTCTCTCTCTTTTCTTTCTCTTCTCCTCCTCCTCAAACTCCACTCCCTTCTAGCACTATGATGTCACCTAATTTAGGTAATGAAATGTTGGCAAGAAAACAACCCAGAAAGCACCAAGGACCCCTCAGTTCTCCTCCTTCCTTCTCCTCTCTGCAATCCCCACTCCCTTCTAGCACTGATGATGTAACCTACTTGGGTCATGAAATGTCTTCAAGAACACCACCAAGTTCAGAGAGCACCAAGGACTCCACAATGCTTTCTCTTTCTTTCTTTCTTTCTTTCTTTCTTTCTTTCTTTCTTTCTTTCTCTTTCTTTCTTTCTTTCTTTCTTTCTTTCTCTTCTACTCCTCCTCCTCTTCCTCCTTCTCTCCCCAAGCCCCCTCCCTTCTAGCACTGATGATGTTGCCTAGCTGGGTCATGAAACATCTGCAAGGAAACAACCCAGCTCAGAGAACACTAGTGACCCATAATTCTTTTCTTCTTCCTCCTCTTCCTTCTCCTCCTCCTTTCCTCCTCTTCTTCCTCTTCCTTCCCACCAACCCCACTCCCTTGTAGCACTGATGATGTTCCCTAGTTGGGTCATGAAACATATGCAAAAAAAGGACCAAGCTCAGAGAGCACTAAAGACCCCCCCCCCATCCTCCTCCTCCTTGCAAATCCCACACCCTTCTAGCCCTGATGATATTGCCTAGTTGAGTCAAGAAACGTCTGCAAGAAAATCACCATGCTCAGAGAGCACCAAGGACCCCACAATCCTTTTCTTCTTCTTCTTCTTCCTCCTCCTCCTCCTCCCTCCCTCCCTCCCTTCTAGCACTGATGAGGTTCCCTAGTTGGGTCATGAAACGTCTGCAAGAAAACCACCCAGCTCAGAGAGCACCCAGGACCCCACAATCCTTTCTCTCTCTCTCTCTCTCTCTCTCTCTCTCTCTCTCTCTCTCTCTCTCTCTTTCTTTCTTTCTTTCTTTCTCTCTCTCTTTCTTTCTTCTCTTTCCTTTTCTTTATTTTTCTTTCTCTTTCTTTCTTTCTCTTCTCCTCCTCCTTCTTTCTGCACACCCCTCTCCCTTCTAGCACTGATGATGTTGCCTAGTTGGGTCATGAAATGTCTGCAAGAAAACCACCAAGCTCAGAGAGCAGCCAGGACCCCACAATCCTTTCTTTCTTTCTTTCTTTCTTTCTTTCTTTCTTTCTTTCTTTCTTTCTTTCTTTCTTTCTTTCTTTCTTTCTTCCTTCCTTCCTTCCTTCCTTCCTTCCTTTCTTTCTTTCTCTCTTACTCTTTCTTTCTTTCTCTCTTTGTTTCTTCTTTCCTTTCTTTCTTTCTCTTTCTTTCTTTCTTTCTTTCTTTCTTTCTTTCTTTCTTTCTTTCTCCTCCTCCTCCTTCTCCTCTCCGCAAGCCTCCCTCCCTTCTAGCACTGATGATGTTGCCTAGTTGGGTCATGAAACGTCTGCAAGAAAGCCACCCAGCTCAGAGAGCACCCAGGACCCTGCAGTTCAGCCCTGAGCTACCCATGTCCTCTTCTCCTTTGGTGTGCCTGTTACATGCCTTGAGCTACGTCCGTCCGTTGCTATTTCGATTCTGCTCACTTTTTCACATGGACCAAAGCCGGCCGTGACTGCCTGCAAGTGGCATCCCGGCCTGGTATTTGTCCACTCACACCTCCAGGCGATGTCTCACTTCCAGTCCTGACGAAAATAATCCTGGCTTAGCTTTAAATTCCAGGGTGTAAGTTCAGAGGGGTCATTTTAGCTATTCTTGAAGCTGCCGACAGATCTCTCTGCTAGCTGCCACGTGGCTTGACGCTGAGGAAGTAGGATGGAAAGTCCCTCAATCCACGCCAGTTTGTGTAGTGACCGTTCTGTAACGATGCTAAGAAAAAGACTCAGGCATGTCTTGAGCAGAGGTTTGAAGCTGCAAGACACAGCTTCACAAAACTCTTTGAGTTTATTGTTTCTTATATACTTTTTACATACATAGGCTTTACCATTAACTGCTGACATTTTCCATTTAGAAGTTTAACCTTTACTTGTTGAGCTAAAGTAATTGAAAAATTCCTTCATATAAGCCAGTGTTTCCCAAACTTGACAATTTTAAGGCATGAGGACTTCAACTCCCAGAATTCCACAGCCAGCGTTGCTGGCTGTGGAATTCTGGGAGTTGAAGTCCACATGCCTTAAAATTGTCAAGTTTGGGAAACACTGATATAAGCAATTATTTTGTAGTAACACATTACCTGTGGAGAGCAGGTAAAAACAAATACAGGTAAATTAGAAAAGGAGAAAGAACTGATAAAGACAAGAAGAGATAAAGACAGGAAGAGATCAGGGGGAACTTAAAGCATATTATTTATTTAGGTAGGTAAGATATTAAGTCAAAAGGGGGTGATCTTTTGGCTGCTTCCTTGGGACAAAGGGTATCAAAAGGTTATGAGGTTTGTGTGGGGGCAATGCATGGCAGTTTGCTGCACGTGCAAATTCCTCCACACGTTCAAAGTTACAACGGCCCTGGAAGAAAAGTGGATTACGGCCTTTTTTTCAGCCTTACGACTCTGGCGACATGCCCACGGTCACGGGATCAAAATTCCGGCGCTCGGCCACAGACTCACATTTACGACCGTCTCAACGTCCAGGGGGTTCATCTGACCCCCTTTGACAGCCTTCCAAAAGTCCACGGGGAAGCCGCAGCGGTTCCCTTAGCAACGGTGGCAAGGAAAGTTGTGAGGAAAAAATAGATTTCACAGATGTCTCGCTTAGCGACGGGAAAATTCGGGGGTCGTTTGAGGTGGTAAGTCGAGGGCCATCTGTGATCCTGCAAAGGTGGGCAGGACATGTGTCCTGCGACAAGCTTTCGCGGCGTCCGGATAGAAGCTCCTGCCTCGCCTTGGTCGATGGACTCCTAGGGCTGGAAGGGACCTTGGAGGTCATCTAGTCCAACCCCTTGCCCAAAGTAGGAAACTAATCAAGGAGAGAAGCAAGCTAGAACTAAGGAGAAACTTCCTGAGAGAACAATTAACCAGTGGAACTGCCTGCCTCCAGAAGCGGTGAATGCTCCAACACTGGCGGTTTTTAAGAAGAGACTGGACAGCCATGTGTCCGAAATGGTCTAGGGTTTCCTACCTCAGCAGGGGGTTGGACTATATGACCTCCAGGGTCCCTTCCAACGTTGTTGTTATTGTTGTTATTATTATTATTATTATTATTATTATTATATTGGCTGTCCAATCTCTTTTTAAAAAACCTCCAGTGATGGAGCACCCACAGCTTCTGGTGGCCAGCTGTTCCACTGGCTAATCGTCTTCACTGTTAGGAAGTTTCTCCTTAATTCCACATTGCTTCTCTCTTTGATGATTTTCCATCCATTGTTTCTTGTCCTGCCTTCTGGTGCTTTGGAGA